AATGTTTTTCTTCATGTCCAATAACCCTAAATATCATAAAAAAATAAATAATTGAGAACTTAGTTTTTAGGTATAAATTATACCCAACCCCAGATACCGTAACCCAATATCAAACCGGGGGTCCCATAACCCAGCGAGTTTTGGTCTGGCCAATGAAAAACTATCAGAATGTTTTTCTTCATGTCCAATAACCCTAAATATCAAGACAAGGCGATCGGGGGAGAATTTGAAAAAAAAGATCGTCGCACATTTGTTATGTTTTCAGTTGACTGCCGAGTGTATGGTTTTTGGTACATCGTGATGTTGGGCGGACGGTCGTGATGAACATCATCGGATTATCTCATCATTGGTTACAAATACAAGAGGAGAAAAAGTAGTACCTGACTTTGAATCATATACGCCTGATATAGGCCAATTCTTATGGTTTTCTGAAAACTGTAAAATTCGGTGGGTGGCATATTAATATTCATGCACTGTATTAATATAATATATTGGTCCTTCACTTATTTCTTTTTACGTTCTTAAAGAGTTTGATTTTTTTTAGTTGCCATTTTTGAAAAATGTGATAAGCAAATTTTATTCATGTAAAATTATACAAAATAAACAATTATATCGTCATAATAGTCTTGCCCTTTAAAGTTTATATTTCAAGCGCATCAAATCGACTCACAAGCTGGATGTAGATGCTTGACACACGTCAGATAAAGATACATTACCGGATTTGTTGGAGTGGGCTGCAGAAGGTGATTTATGGGGAAGGGTAAATAACAAAATATGTATAAGACAATGATTTTCTTGAATACTTAAATGTTTTTGGGTCAAAAACGAAACAGTATATGTTATATGTTATATTTACACACACACACACATACTTCAGTATAACTTACTACTACGGAAAAATCGAAATAATAGCATTTGCCAATTGGCAAGAACAATGAATAATTCCACCGGGGGGGGGGGTTGGTTACTAAAACTATTTCTAGAATTGTATACTGTAAACTAATTTCTGTACAAAATAAGAAGAGACAAACATATGAAGGTTACTGCAAAATCATATTCAGGGAACCAGCCCAGATTTGGTAAAGGGAATTTTGTTGTTGCTTTTAAAAAGAAACGCCGTATTAAATGGGAAAAGCGGCTAAGTTCAAAAGCAGTAGAGCACTTTCTAAGCGGCGTGAAAATTATGTTTTAGTGCTCTCTAGAAGAATCTAAAACATTTGTACACGACGAAAAGTAATAATAAAATGTGCGAAAATATTTTACAATCGATGTTTGTCGTAGTGATTCTTTCTAGAATTGAGTCTTGTTGTGAGTTGCGCCGTGATAATTGGCTTGGTGACTGAGGAACATTTGAGCTTGGGAATCGACGAGATGTTGAGCACCTGCGGCGTTTGGGGTTCCGTTCAAATTGTAGAGTCCTGCATCGAATTGTGGTGGTGGTCGAGAAGAAGAACCGGCAGCGCCATTCAATCCGGAGTAAACTGAAGGCAGCTGATTGAACGCTGAAAATTAGACATTTGATTGATTTATGAAAAAAAATGTTCTCAAACAACTACTTGATTTAACGTTTGTGGTATGTTAAAACTAAATAATATAGATTATAACTCACCATTTCCAGGATAAAGGAAATTACCAAGCGTCGCTCCAAATCGTGGCATATAGGTGGCGTAAGCCAATAATTGGTCCGGTGGCAGCCCGTAGAGGTTTCTTGCTGCTGCTGCACGCGATTTATTCAACTGCACCGGAAGCATTACCTAAAATATGTTTGTATAAATCGAAACCCTATTTAAGTACCTCTTTTGGCTGCGCTTTCTTGCACTCAACCATTTTCCCATTAATCTCATGGAAATGGATCTCACACACTTTATCGGCGACCTCGTCGTTGTCAAACGTAATAAAACCAAACCCTGCAAAATGGCAATTAAAAATGTTTTATATAGCATCAACCAAATTATATTTTTAAGATTAAAACAAACCTCGATGGCGCTGTGTAGCCTTGTCAAACATGAGCATAGCATCTTCAACTTTTCCATATGCTTCGAAATAGCTTTTCATATCCTCGAGAGTTGACGTAGCTGACAATCCACCAATGAAAACCTTTTTTGTTTTTGTTACCATCTGTAAAGCAACAATTTGAAAGTTTGTGAACTAGAAAGTTTGGTTTAAAATTAATAGAATAGAATTTGGAAATTTCTTACTCCAATTCCTGCCACTGACGGAATAGGTGGAACATGCTGAATAGGTAATCCGTAGGTGACAAATGCCATCTTTCAATATAAAATTCAGGCGAAGCGGCAGAGCAACTACCTCAACGATTACTAGTTTTCCAACTCGTCAGCGAGGGAAGGTAATCGTTGTGAAAAGCGGCGAGCAGAAGAACGAATAAAAACTACTCGAATGCTCGAAGAAGATGAAGAAGAAGAAGGAGCAGGAAAGAAATGGAAAAGGGACGGGATGGGGAACGATTAAAAGTGAATGGGCTTGCTCCTGAGCCACGCCCACCTCTTTTGCTTTCCTCTTTGGTGGACCATTATGCTTGAATGGCTTTAACTCTTTAAAAGAAAGCATCTCACAACTTTCGAAACGTGTAATTATCATTCGTCAGTTTAAGGATTACTGCTAGACTTGGCGTTGCTTTTACTAAACCCCTGGGCTTTAAGAAACGTTTTGTTGAACGACACCAAGGAAAAATGCTTGCCTAATAATAATATGCTGAACTACAATGGGAATATTATTGCAATAAAATATATTTTTTAGTTAAAAAAATACACATTGCGGGCGAAAAAAATGTAATGTTTTTTTTTTTTTGAAAAAAAAATAAAAGCATTTTAATAAATTGGTCAATTAACAATCTCTAATATAATAAATCGGAAATTTCAATTGGGTTTCATAATCTGAAAAAGATGATGTCTTCATCGACTTTTTCAATCAAACATCCAAACAAATTTGAAGTGTTGAATATGCAAAAAGGATGAAGAAAAGAATGTAATGGCACGCAAAACATTTCTTGTCGAGTAGTTGTAAAAATGTGGGGATGGAAGCGAAGGAATACATGAATATTTTCAAGAAAGGCGCCATTCAAATCCTTTAAGAACAATTAATCTGCGAAAATAAATCAATTTTAATCTACAATACGATAAAAGGAACCCAGAATCATCTCGTCTCATATGCATAAACAACTTTAAAATTTAAAAATGTTTAACATCAAATATATGTAATTAGCATAAACATTTGCACATTTCTCTGTTCCTCATTGAAAAAAGCTAAATCTAAGCATACCTTTGCTTGGCTTCTTTTTGGAAATGCAACTTTTGGGTCAATGCGTTTGCCATCAAGTTCGTGCTCCTGAGTTGCAAGAACCTAAAGTATGGCAAATTTTTGTCACAATAATGATTTTAGTTGATGTTTTTAGGCTTGGAATGCTGTAATTTCATAAAAATCATCACACGTTGGACTAGTTACGATAGTTCAATTTCGTTCATTGGCTAATTACCAAAATTCTCACCTTATCTACGCTAGCAGGATCTACGAAAGTAATAAAACCAAAACCGCGAGCTCTTTTTGTAGCTGGATCTCGCATTACCATGCACTCGTTCACTTCTCCAAATCGACTAAAATAATCGCGAAGACCTTCTGAACATAAATTAATTAAAATTACAGATTCATGCTGCCTGCAGTTTCTTAACGGAAACTTTTTTTGTGAACCATTTGTGACATACCTGCAGTAGTCTGCCAGCTCAATCCTCCGATGAACATTTTTCCCGGATCTTGTGAAGCATGGGATCCGTCATCAGAATCGGCATTCAATCTTGCCTCTTCGTGACTATCAGTAACAGGACTTGAAGATCGATTGCGTGTTGTATCTGATGGTGATCCATGTTGACTAATATTACCGATTGGAGTAGACGCGGTGTTGGTGTTGCTGCTACTGTGATTTGTATTACTGTGGGAGTGGCTCATTGTGAATATTATGATGTAGGTAAAGCAATTATTGCAATGTTGGTTTAATTGATGAAAAATAAGATGATGTCCCTGCTCCTGCTGATCACTACACCTCTGAAAATTTTTTAACGTGATTTTACATAAATAGCTATATATATATATATATATTAGAATCTTAAACGGCTAGATATCAAAAATCATACGAAGAATACAAGCAAAACAAATAACGGAAATTTTTTTTGAAAATTATGAAAAATTTGAAATTGATTTTTTCCATCTCAATTTCTCAATTTTTTATAATTATTGATTTTCTGACTGTATTTTATATAAAGGAAAATCAGTAAAAAAAATTCGAAGAAGACTCTAAAAGGAATCAACTAAGTAGTGAGCTGTTGTTTTCGTCCCCGCGGGAATGAATGTATGTTGTGGTAGTTGAGGTCCTCTCTAATACTCGTACCAGTTCTTCCCGCTCTTCTTCTCTAAAGCTTTCATTCAGCGCCTGCTATTTTTCACTTGCCGATTTCTGCCGCCGCCGCCGAAATGAATCGTCCAGGCGCGAAAAACATGTTTTGTGTTGTGTGTGTTATGTTGTATGGCGTCTATGCATTCAGGGATGTTGTTGTTTAGAAGACCTACGGGCCTAAACGGACTGCCACTGATAACCATCTGCATTCTCTCTGCCGCGTTTAGAGGAACGAGAAATAAAAAACTATAGATTAAATTGTCTGCGTTTCCATTCAAAAACCATTGCCTGTCTCCAATTTTCAACGTTCACACACTCATTCACAATGCAAAAACAAAAACAGCCAACGATTATATTGGGAAAATGTGCGACGACAGATAAAAACGAACAAATTTGTTCGAAATGACGCAATTCAAGATGATAAACGTTATTTAACGTGTTTTCTTGTAAATAATAAAATCGAAGCCTAGGATATGAATTGTTCGTGGTGCTTCCTACAATAATTGACATACTGCCGAACATGTTTCTTCTATAATTTTTTCTCAGTACCAATCATATATAGATATATCAATGTACGATTAAAACAAATCTTTATATGAAAACTCTTCTCTTATGGGTGTTTTTTCGCAATACCACATGCGAAATAATAAGTGAGGAGCACTTACACAGCTAATCGAAGCAATAAATGAATAGGAATACGGAATTCACTGCTGCAATATAGATGTATTGAAATTGAGCCTGAAACAGAATCCATCAATAAAAAATTGGTATGAACATTTTTAAGAGTAACACGATTTTAACGAAGGTAAAAAATTAAAAACCTAACCTCAAAGAAACGGGAAATTGTAAAAAGGTGAGTTTTGTTTATTCAATAATAACACGACCAAAACCATTATTTTAAATAAGTGTTTCACTGGTAATAGATAAACAAAAATTTCTGTTGAAACACGATATGAATATAAATGTTTTTACCGAATTCCATTATTAACACAAGTTCGAGACGATAGAAATCTCTTAGTAATATACGTATAACAACAAGCTAAAAGTAATAGAAAATAGAGAAAAAGGCAAAAAATAGAGAAATATAGGCGACATAAAAGAGCGCACGGCGGTAGGAGAAACCGAGGGGCCCGCGGTGGCGCCCGTCGTGGAATCACACTCACAAAACAACTGGAGGACACTGGAGGTTCAAGAGAAAATAAGAGAAAAAGAGACAAACACACACATAGCGATTGATGCGAGTCAGTGTGTTTCATTGCTGCAAAAAAACGCGAGTTTTTTTTTCCAAAGGCGCGCGCTTGCCTGCCATCCCGATTTTGCAATGATGGGAGAAAGAGAGAAAGAGAGCAATTTAGACAGCAAACTCGACGAATCTTGACGAACACTCTTATCAATCGGGGACTGGAAAACAGTTTGAATAGCGAAACGTCGAATACCAATTAGAATAATTTTAACTGATATGATACATATTCAGCGCATGCTTGCACAAAACAGTCAAAATAATTCAACTTATTACATTTCTCTAAAGAATTTTCACAAATTTAAAATCGTGTCAAGTTTGAAATGGATTTGAATAGTTGAACACAATTCTGATAAGCCATTATTACGAGGAATTAGAAAAATCAATATCCAACAACTGATTTTAAACCGATGGAATAGCAATCAAATGTTTATTAAAGAACAATTTATATTCGTTTGAAAAATTTATACTTTGGATAAATACTCTATCATCTACAACATATACATAGTTAGGAAGGCATGAGTGAAGAACATAAAACAGACAGCAGATAGAAATAAAATGTGTGCGTGTTCAAAAGGTAAGTAGACGTCTTGGGAAGAGAAGAGGAGGAGAAATTTTTGAGTGAACGAACCGCGGGCCGCGCGCGCCCCGCCGTTCGCCTCGTCACAAATAACCAACCAACCGATTGGCACACACACACACACACACACACACACACACACGATTGTATACACAAATAAAGAAGGCGAACGAATCATTGGAATTTTCGGAGAAAAAAAACAAAAATTTGCAAGATTTATAAAGTGTAAGATTAGATAAATACGGATTTTAAAAAAGCTCTTATCCGTTATTTTAAACATATAGACGGCATTATATAAGTGACGAAAAACAGTTGAAATCAATAAAACGTGACATCCAAATTTTTCTCGTTAACATGATAGCGATAACTGATAAGAAATTCCCATTTTTTACAACAATGTCTCTACTGACATTAGTTAATAATGAGTAAGAATTACGAGTTGTTAATTTATTCAATAATTTAAAAAATGCTAGGTTTAATAATAGTAGCCTAGAAGAACAGGATGAGAAACAAGAATCGACAAGCACAAAGGAATTCGGATCGGCTAATACAACAATCCTGGGCTTTAAAGTGTTTTTGATTGTTACAAAATCGTTAACTTTTCTCGTTTACATTGTATTGTTCATAATATCAGGTACGTTTTAAACGCGATACGGGAAAAGTAAGGAGCAATTTCAGAAGTTCTTCTTGATCATCAATTCTTTTTCACAATTGTAGCATTTGGAATAGCAGAAGTAATATTAATTACTATTACATTGTTTCACGTGTTGCGGCCAACTCTGGGTACGTACGTTCGAAATCATTGATATGTGTGATGTATTACATTTTTGTTATTGCATCAACTTTTCTAGTTTTGCACATTCGTGCTGCAAGATCATTTGGGATGATGCGTAATTCAATTTGGTTCCTTGCGCGAAAATATCGATTTATAGATTATACTTATTTCAATTGAAAAAAATAACGAAATTTTAGTTGAAATGAAACCAAAGAAATACGGGAAGATGTGTTTATGATTAGATTTTTATTGAAGCAAACAAAATAATTACCATTAACAATTTTCACCACACTTCCGAACAGAAAATACGTAAAATCCAAAACCGTATTTTAGGAGTTGTTTTTACTATTATTGGATGTCAAGTGGCTCTTGGAGTATCAAAATTTGCATTTGCACTTTGTCTTGATCTGATCGATGGCGGAAAGAACTGTGAACTGTGTGTTATTTTTATAATTCAATTAGTGTCGAAGACAGACGATTTCCGGGGGCAGAGGGTAACACGTTGAACGAGGTGATTTGGTATTTCGCTTATTCACGAAACATGTAAAACTGCAATATTCATAAAAAAACGCATACAAAAAAGTCTTATTTTCGCATTAGGAATTGTAACTCAATTACATCTGAATTATTTAACTTTCCGAAATTTCCGATAGTTGTCTGTCTTCGACAATACATTTCTTTAACAATGATCAATTGACTATTAAGATAATGAAATATTTAAAGCTTTTTCTTAGACGTTAAACGAATATACATATTGGTTTTCGAACTGGTTTCAATTTCAGCGTTTACTGTTCGATATTGAACATCAGCGAAAGCGAACGGTTCGGTCTTTTTTGGTTTTGCTTGACCACTTCTTTCTTTGACCATCTCGTTGCATTAATCGTCATATCGGTAACCATTTGGAAATTGCAACACATTTCAATATTCAATTCCAGCATTCTCCACAAATGCGAGAATTCGAAATCGGCGATCATTACTTATTTTGAGATCCAAATTCAAAATTCGTTTATTCGCTCCAATAATTTGACAGTACAAATTTTAATAAATAAATTTTCGGAAGTATGGGCGGGAATGAACATAGCTCGACCGTATTGGGAAAAAAAATGAGCAACCCATATAAGGATGCCTCGCAATAACGAATATGTACACAATGTCAAGTGAGAGTTGGAGATCGAAAGATAACCTCGCACTTTACATTTGCATTAATTCTTCTCATCCCAACCATTGTCTTTTACCATGTGTGCCAATTCAATTATGTACTTTCCTTCTTTGTATTTCTGACTTGACTCGAATGCGTGCTCCTGAAGTGGAGGTAAATTAAGGATATGTATTTCTTGACTAACATATTTCCATCCTAAAGTAGTTTTGCATATTTCGCAAAAAATGTCAGCCACAGCATGGAGACCCGTCAGTAACACTCGTTCTTCTGCTGGTCCACATCCAACGTTGACACTGAAATATCGTTCTCGAAATATATAGCAATTCTTTCCCTAATACATACACTGAATTGAACAAGTAAGCTTTTCCTTGACTTCCTTGAAATGACTGAAATTCTATTTTAGTTTTAATGATAAACCCACATATATACCTTAGAAATCAATTCGGAATGAGATGCAAGATTGGCGCGACAGTGAACACAACTATAACATCGATCGCCTATTGGAAGGTAATGCTGTAACTTTTAATAAGAACTTCATTTCACTTCAAACTCACTTGAAATGTTTTGTGTTTTTTTGGAGTGTTGTGCTTTGTTGACTTTTCAAGTACCTTCATTTCTGCAAAAAATTTATTTCATACGATTTGATTTTTTCTCAGCAGTATTTGTCTTCTTGTCAATCAATCACAAAAATACAAGCCTTATTTTTGAAAAAAAAAATCGAAATATAGAAATAATTCCGAAACTTAATAAATTTTACAATTTCAATTTTTTTTAACCAATAAGGATTTATAAAATAGCATTATCAGCCGATATATGCAGTCAGGCAACCCGAAGCAGAAGTAGCAGCTGAGGGGCGCGTGCGCGAAAGAAAGACATCAAGTGGACACAAGGGTAACGTCGAGGCGAGGCGCTGCAAGGCCACGAAAAAACATCACATGGGCAAGCGAGACGCTGCGGCGTGTATGCACACGAGGTGGCACCCTTCGCGAACAGCTGATTGATTCGGCCTAGCCGACTCTGCCCAGTCTGCGTCTGAACTTTAGCCTGAAATTGGTCTTTTCTTCGCAACGATCGATGAATGCACTAATCAAGGTCCAAAAGGACGTAAGCACTTAATGAATTGACATCTTTTGGAGGAGTCTCGTTCAATGGCTTTTTCGCAAATGTGACAATTTTTAATTGCGTTGGAGAACTGCTGCGCTTATATTTTCAACTACTTTTTTTTATTTCTGAGAGAAAATCATAATTATTACCAACACAAAAAAAGAACATGAGAACTTTAAATGTTTATGGACGAGAGTAATTTTCGAAACGGTAATTCAAATTTTGATGCAAACAATGAAAATTCGGATTTCGTACTATGGTTAACCTACACATGAAACTCGCTGTAATTTATAAATAACGCTAACTATAAATAACGCGGAACGCAATTTCGAATATAATTTTACTAACTGCGGACCATGTACATAAAATTTAAAAAAACGTTGAAAATGTGTATCTAACAAGATTGTTGGAGGACGAGGAACTATAAGATTTATTGCATGAAACACAAACGTTTTTTGCTATTAATCGAAATTACATGTATGGGAATGCGAAATTAAAAACTAATGATTGATTTCAAATTTTCTGCCGCCGATTGATTAAGAATAAACTATTTATTCAAAATTGTAACGAAACAGAAATTTACTTATTACACATCTGACGTACGCAGTTATATTAATATGTAGATTCTTCCAAAGTAAAATAATATTTCCGAGTTAAAAAAAAACCATCCATCATCGTAGGTCACGGTTCGGTTCCTGGCAGTGATATTGTCTGAATAGACGCTCCTTGGGGGAGGGGTGTAACGGGACATGGTGCATATTCTAGTAATTAGATAAATGAACCGAAGAGATACTTCATTCTCTTTATGTTTTCGCTTCGTAATGATGACAACTATTCGTCATATTCGACATTATCAAACTTTATGCAACTTATTATTTCATCATTGGCACACATTAATTTTATGTTAGTACTTCTATTTTAGATAGTTTTAGCGTTTTAACTTAAACAAAATTTTCTAAATTGTAATGGAGGCTATGCATTCTGAAGTCATTGCATTAATCATTTTCTGCCGGAAAAGCGTTTTCAAAAGACAATTTTTTCTGGAAACGATTACTCCGTCGAAAGCAATAAAAACAAGGTTCCTATGAATAGGTGCCAAAATTTTCTCGTTCTAGAAAAACTAATTGTGCCCCCAAAAACGGAGGCCATTTCGACGTTTTAAGATCGTTTAATGATAATATTACTTCATTTTTGAAATTCGAAAAGCTTTAAGAATCATGTTTTTTCAAATATGGGGCTATATTTAATTTAAACATTAAAAAACTGAATCTACTTCAATCGACTTATGATTTAAGTAAATGAAAAAACTACAGTAGCAAATAACCCTACAAATGGTTTAATGTGAACATCATTCCATTTTCGGTGGCATAACCAATTCGTTGCCGAATGTTATGCGATCCCACTTCAAAATAACATGTCAATTCGAAATTGCTCAAACGAAACTCAATTTCACCAATTTCATATGCATAATTAAGCGCCAAACCTATTGCCTAACTTTTTACGAGAATTTAATTAAACTGTTACTATTTTTTAATCATTTTTTCTTCTGCTCTCTACTTTATTTTTTCATGTTCTTCATGTTCTTCATCTTGGATCCATTTCATGTAGCATCCCATTGTGTGATGAATTGGTTTTCTGGTGCTCGTCTCGGGACCCATCTAATTATTCTTCTCTTTCTTCCAAAAAATTATTGCCTCAGTTTGTCCTATTTCGAATGCAAATCCCAAATTGTTTTCTTCTAATTTTTCTTTGGTTACGCATCGAATGACGTTTTCAAATATCAACATTTACGATGATTCGAATCTCAATTCTTTTAGCTTTCCTCTTGCATTTTGGTGAGTTCAGTAGCGCACAAACGAAATGAAGCAAGTTTAATTAATTCCCAGATTGTTGTTGCTTTTCCTTCTTCCCTTCAATTTCCACCCTTTTCAGCCTACTCATCCTTTTGAATCAATTTGAACAACCAATTGTTAATTTGGTAACTTTAAGCATCTTTCAGCAATTCTTACACAGAGATTTTTACTTTTATTTAAGATTTTATTAATAACAGTTTCTGCTGAAAAGTACTATTAATCATCTTGTATTTTTGTCGCACACCTGATTTTCATATTTCCATTTAAAAAAAATGCGTTCTAAATACTTTATACCGTTTTTTGTTTCCACAGAATGTTGTATTGCGTTGTGTTTTTTTTTTGAATATGATGAAAATGTCAGTTTAAATTTTATTCTCGCGCAAACATCACACAGCAATACGAATTTTTAATGAAATTCCTCTTAGAGACCGTAGGCGATTTCTGAATTCTTCGCTCAGTATATTTTCATTTCAATGCTTGCTACAATTGTAGTAATTCGAAATATTACCATTAAACTCTTGCAGACTTACTCATTGAACTCACGAAATTTTTCAGGGTACAATTTGACAATGTGGTATTTCACATTTATTCTCGCAATAATTCCTACCATTTACTCTCACAATGGTACGTTTTTTGATAATAATATTGAAAATTGACGCTCCTAAGTTTCTCAGATTATGTCCTTTTGGTGAGGGTACCAGACGGAGTGTCTGATGGAATGCTCGTCAATTCATATCAAGAAAAGGGTATGTTTGTCAAAATTCTAGCAAAATTCTAATAAATTTCTAGCATGTTTGGAGAGCAGTTAATATTCTATAAACTTTTCTGGCATTTCACAGCGTAACTCACAGGATTTAATTTTTTAGTTTGTGAAAATTGCTTCCAAAATTGAAAACTTTCATTTATATTTTACTTACAAAAACAACTTGTTTACTTGTTTTTTACTTTTTAGGACGGTTTATGGCTTTTACCGCCTGCCGAAATCATTAATTTCATTATCGATTCAACCCAAACTCGAAAATTTCCAAGAAATGAGAAAGGCGTTTGAATTGCAACCAAATCAGCAGTGTCACTGGCGACATTTCTGTTTTGCGTTGTCTGGAAAATGTATTTTTGTTTTTTTTTTGGTATTTGCGGATGATTTGTAGTCAGCATCCGGCGACTAATAGGTGGTGGTAGATTTCGCGCGGACTAACTGGTTATTTTGCATTATTATTACTGGTTTCGATAATTTTTATAACCATAAAAAAGAAGAAAAAAACAGTTCACGTAAAAATTACAAAAAAAATTATAAGCATTCGGTCGTGAGACAATTTCGAATGGCGCAACCGTAAATCTACACACACTGTGACACAAATACATATTACAGAAAACAAACTAAAAATACCTATATCGTATGAATTTAATTTTACATTGGTTTTTTGAAGCAATGTAGAACATTTTTGACTTTTTACCTAGTTCCATACTACTATTAAGGGGGGGGATGTTCTTCAATTATTAAATTAATAACTTCATAAATCATATATTAACTAATTGAAATTACAGAAGTTTTTACAAAACGAGCAATACCATTTAATGGTGGAATGTATGGAAAGCGAGCGGCTATTCCCTTTTCAGGAGGTTATCCCCGGCCTGTTTTCGAGATTATATCCGTCTGTATTTAAGGCATGTATGGAAAAAGATCAGATCCTTTATTTATTCAACAACGTTCGGTTATTCCGTTTTCTGGAGGTTTATTGCTATATTTTCAAAACCATTATCAAAATTCAAGGAATGTATGGAAAACGTTCACTTTCGTCGTTGAATGGTTATGCGCAGAATGAGAATCAGATAAAGCGAGGAGCAATGCCATTTTCCGGAGGTTTTCGCACATTTTCTTTTGCCGAAAAAATCTAATTAAGCGATTTTCAGGAATGTATGGAAAACGGAAATGAAACCATAATCTCTTCTTCATCTGAAAGAAATGAATTAACTATCGCATCTAGAAGAATGTTTTTCTCTTAACTACAATTCTTAAATTAATGAACTACGTTGAAGAAAAAGTTTACGAGATATTTTTTTAAGAGATATTTAATTATTCGTTTCTATCATGTCTATCAAAAGGTTCTCAGGCATTTTAGACACGTTGATATAGCAAATCATTCATTTATACAATCGAGAACTTCCAAATTGTGAGACTCTAATGTAATATATACTGGGCAATACAATTTTATTTTTTTTTTCATCGGAAACAATAACCTGTTGAAGTTTGAATGATTATTATTCACAATATTCTCGAATGTAAGCACCTCGATTCATGTTTTGAATGCGAAGTCGAATTTTATGATCCTCTGTGAGGCGAGGAGCCGGCTTCATTTCATCTCTAGCGATGTTAGGGTTATTCTTTATCATTCTCCAAACTGTCCACTTGTTTTTGTCAAAGTTCAGATCTTTCTTGATGTCATCTGTAGACGTCATATTGCTGGAAGCTGCTCGAATCATTGCTCGATTAGCGCGATAGTCCAGTTTTTCTTTGGCGCCTGACTTTTGTGGCTTGTTGACACTTTCTTGTAGTACATATATTCTTCGGAAACAGACTATATCTTTAAGATAATTTTATAAAAACTTCTCACTTACATCTGAACAAACAAGCCGTTGCGTTCTTTTAGAATGTATCATGTATGTGATCATCATCCTAATAATTGAGGGTTTTTGCGTTCTTTATGACCCTATTTTCATGTAGAATGAAGGCAATAATTATCATTATTGTCGTCGTGTCTTTCGATTCCACATTTTGAAAAATTTTCAAAATTCAAACTAAAAAATGCTTTCATTTTAAAGAAATATACGTTACACAGTAACGACGATACGCAAACCAAAAATATGTTTACCAGAAAATGGAACAGAGAAATGATTAATAAACTGTAGGCGGTGCAAGAAAATTTCCCGATCCTTCAACTGATGATCGTTCTTCTGCATTTTCAACGCTGTCCCCAAAATCGTCTTGCGGAGAAGTTGATCTTATAAACAGAATGACTGACTTCAATGTTTTTTTTTTCAAGATAATATACCTTCTATTAGCGCTCGAAACGCTCGCACCATCATCCGTTCCTGTCGAAACAACATCGACTGATACTCTAGTACGAAGCGCGCTACTATTTTTTCTTTGCCGCCTAAGCTCCGCGTAATATCTTAATTTTTATTGCTATTATCATTTATTTGTTCGTATGCATAATTACCCGTCTCGTACAGCCGAAAAGACGTGAGAGGTCAGTAAAGACCACGCCGACGCAGTTTCGCTCGTGGGATGTGTTGCTTGATCCAAAAATGTGCACTCAGTTGTGACCGCATCTGCGGTGCATGAAAAGAAATCGGGTTTGAAACCATTTGCACGAAATTGTACATGGTTACAACCAAACTCTTCCGATAACCTTAAAATTTTATGTAATTATATATATATATATATATATATATATATCGAAATGAAATCATTTTGAAGTGGTTGCGAATTGCAATAATCTCTTAATTACCTATTTATTTCATCAATATCCGTTAGGTTTTCGCAAATGCCGTTCAAAAACTTTTTAAGATACTGCGCATTTTCGTGACGCTGAGTCTACAATGTACCCAATTTAAAAAGCTCATAACAATTCAGAAAAAGACTTTGTTTAAATTGTCAATGAACTGACGAAAATCATCGCGTTTTTCAGACGCTCTTCTAATTATGCGATCGCCAATATCGTCTTTGGAGTTATCGATACAATACTTGATTATTTGCCGATGATTTGACGTCAGCAACGGTTTTTTGTTTCCTTGAGATGAAATCGAAGGTCGTCCGCTGGTGCTGGAAAAAAATATTCCCAAACACTAAAACATGCATGATATTATTTGATTTCTTAGTATTTTTGGCTTCTCTCTCTGACGCAATGGTTCGCCCACGAGTTTAATTGATTACGACCTTTCAAAACAATTGGTGGTGAAAAGATAACAGCTGATCACTGATGCTGTCGGGACAGAATTTTAAAAAAGTATTATTTCACCTTACGAATCAATGAATTTGTGATATATTATGCGCGTGATATTCAGCGTTTATTCTATATTTCACAGCTTTTCGTCATCAAAATAATTCAGAATGTAAATATTTGAGATATTGAACTGCGAATGAAAAGTGCAATGTATTGAAAAATCGCACATTCATTGGAAGCATGCAAATAAACACAGCTTCATCTCAAAGAAATCAAACAAATGTATTTTTCAGCAAGATAACACGAACAACAACAAATCTGAATACCTTGTACTTGGGGTTGTATTCGATTTTCTTCTACTCGACTTTTTTGAAACAGAATCTGAAGATTTCGCGTTTCCCATTTCTGCAAAATTGCAATAAAGACTAATGTTAACTTTAAATAAAATAAAACGATGACATTGCCATGCATTTGAAGTTTCGCTTTATTATACTAGATAAAAACAAGTTGTAAAGAATTTGAACATAGAATACACCTTGGCGAATCCCAACAAGATGAATCGAAACACAAATGAAGAAAAACCAACTGACACATCAAATTTCAACTCGCTGTCAACACACGAAGATTGATGCAGCGACACGATTCAGACACCAAAACGGCGAGGAGAAAAATGAAAAAAAGGAAAATTCAATGAGCAATCAGGAACCTCTTGTTGTTTGCTACTCTGACCTAATCTGAGCTGCCCAATTTTTTTGTGTAAAATGCCTTAACATCATACTAGCACGCAAAACATAGGCTGTGAAAAATCTTTAATTCATACATTTTTCAATTCTAGATAGATGTGTGTATCTTACTCTTTTAAAAAATGAGAAAAGAAAAAAAGATGATTTTTCTCTAAGGGAACCTTAATTTATGATAATGGCTTTTGCAGAAAACGAAGAATGTATTTTCATTCATTATTAATATGAATATTCATGTTCGAAAACAAGGCAAGAAATTCATTTTTACAATTTCACTGCTCAATTTCAATATTGAATATTTAACTAAAATGAAATGAAGTAAAATCTGTTTTTTTTTTTCGTGAAATGTTTTTCACTCACAGATCGTGCTATATAATTACTTTTAACATTTAAGCGCAAAGGAAAATAGAGTTGGCAAACAAAAATATCAGCATTGTAGGCATCAATTCGTACATCTATGCATTATTTCGTGTGATTAAAGAGAATAAGAAACGGATGAATTGGTATTCATATGCGTCGATATAATGAGCATAAAAATTCAGAGAGCGCCCTTATTCTTCTCTCTGCATCCCCCTTCGTCAGTTTCCATAGGAGCTAATTCCTCTGCAGTCTGAAAACAATACAACATAAAATTGCGATCATCCCGCGTCGGTGTAACAACAAGGTTCCACGATAGTTTATCGAGTGAAAGAAATGATGAAACGGATGTAAAAATTTATAAGAATACGGAGTAGTGTTACGAACATAAAAAATCGATAATTTTTATTGGGTGTAAATAGCTGCCAACTACGAAAATTTCTAGAAAAACAAACATTTAAAAAATCAACAACAAAAGTAACAAAGTAGGGGTTAAAGAAACAATAAGATTCTTTTATAAACAGAAATTACTATTTTTTTAATTCCACGATTTAAAAAAATCGAAAAGAAAACATATTTTTAAATTATTCAACAAAAAATTTAAGGCGCTGGTGTAGCGCCTCCAAAAGATTTGAGCCCTGGTGTTGCTGAGTAGTTGATTAGAGATGTTTGCCCGCATGTGCCGCTTCTTTCGCGAGGGTTCGCTCCGCCCCCTGCAATGACGATATACATGAATGTGAACAACTGCATATTATTGACTCTAATATGATAACTGATATGAAAAATATACTCATTATTTGATTTTTAAGATTTTTAATTGCAATATGTCTACTATTCCAGAAATATTTGTTTCCCATCTTAAACAAATAGAGATTCTCAAACTAACAATACAAATCTTTAATTTTCAACGACACAGCCAAAAGCTCAATTCCGTTGCGTGCACAATTTCACAAAGAATTGTAAATTCTGTCATCCCAGTAGCACGCAGTTTTAAAAGCGTTTGATGCTCGGAGTTTTGTTTTAAATCGTTTAGGAAATAAGATCCCGCCATGCCTAATTTTTGAAACAAAAAATAATCAAGAAGACTATTAGGCCATTGGTGAACATTTTCATACCAAATTCGTCGTCGTCTAGAAATTCATAACCGGATTCCGCTGACTTCTCAAATGCAACATCTTTCTGAGCTGTAGCTGCATTCCAGCTAAGTGCGGCTGTCAACATTGAAACATCTTCTGCTAAAGGAGAAAACTTTCGCATCAAGTCAATGATATAACAGGAACTTCTGAAAGAATAATCTCAGATTTGTTCGAATCAATTTAATAGAAATAATTCATGTTATTTTCTTTACATAAATATTAGTAATACACATATCGGATTAGATATTATTTTTGAAAAAAAATTGCAGTAAAAATTACGAATTAGACTACTTTTAAAATATTGAAAACTTTTCTCTTGCGATTACCTTTTAAGTTGAAAACTATCAAACGGAAACATGTCCTCAAATGGTCTTTGCATTTCTTCTGCAGAAATAACGTGATTGCAATAGACTAGTTGAAGAGATCTTAATAAATAATAATATATATCATTAGAAAGTTAAATCTACCTAGAAATAGCCGAAAAACAATGAGCAACCGGTTTGGAAACGTACTTGAGTGGCTCGAGTGGTGAATGCACAACTCGTCCGATACCCCAATGACGTATCGTTTCGATCATTCCAGACGATTTAACGAACTCACGATAGCGAAACGAAAAAACAAGGAAAAATGCTTGAGAAATCGCATAGAACGTTCCGTGTCGTTGAAGACCTGGCTGAACTTGCGAACTCCCGGAGCCAAATTGATTGATATATCTCTGAAGCCAGTTGAACATTTCTTCGAGCCATGTAAACACAGTACTAAAAACACAAATTTGCACGTTTATATGCATATAATTAAAGTTTTAGAGCTTTCTTACGTCTTCGAAACATAATTGGCTCTAGCAAGAAATGCTGCAAGATATGAAATTGCGCCTTGGCTTGATTTGATATCAGCAGGAGCCCTAGGCATCCGACAAGTCCATTGCCAAAGACTATCAAGAATTCGAGATATATAGCTCTAAAATCTTATATTAATACAATCTTCTCATTGCCTACTCGTTTACCGTTTTAATAGAACAAAGGTATAACCATACGAAAGAAACATTATGAACGTGTGGTGCTAAGAGCATAACTTTTTCCAAACTATCAACGAAAGTTTCGAATAGTTCTTCTTCATTTACATTTCGAAGGCGAGGAATGCTTGCAGATTTCAGCCATTCACAATCTGAACAGTTTGAATGTGCCATTTCCTCAAATGACTTACTTATGTCCTCGATTCCGTGCACATTGTTGATATAAGCTATAATATCCATACAAGTACTGTCTAAATATTCCCTGATTGGTTCCAATTTGTCAATATTTTCCGAAAGAGGATTTGAAAAGGTTTTCATGTCCTCTATTATTTTTTCGTTATTCTAAATTAAAAGTGAAAAATAAATAAATGATTAATAAAAAAAAAAACAAACAATTGCAAACAACGCAGGTAAATTTCCATCTATTCCTCCTTTATTTTCAGATCTCCAGTTGTACACCTAAAAATGATGTAGATTTCACAACTATTATATACTTACGTCGTCTTTGGCAAGTCGTTCAAAAAACATGCACCAAATTTCTGTAGATATTGTTTTTGGAACATAATTTTGCATCAGTATTAAATTTCTCATATAATCTGCCGTTTTCTTTTGTGGTTGAGTGAAATGCGGGAAGTTAAATCGAATGAGTTTTTGAATCATTTTTGACGACATCGGAAAACATTTCAGAACATGTCCGATAATAAAATGCGCCATTTCATACAATTCAATTTGTTGAGTATTAGAAAGAACGAGCTGATATTCCCCGCTTTCTGAAAAATCCAATTTTTAATTATAAAATAGCGTTTTGAACAATGAATTCCTACCACCCAATTCCATTTGCGGAGAGAAGTTCGTGACAGCAGTTTTTATAACGAGTTCGGTATATGAAAGCTGTCTGATTCCCAAATCGCACAAAAACTTTCTATAACGATGAAGCACGGGTTTCGGAATGTAATCCCAGCGGAGTTTCTGTAACATTAAATTTCGGAAAAAATCTGAACATACAGTTTACCAATAAGTTGTTCACAAGTAATTCAGTGCGATAATCTAATACATCGGAAAGATCCATAAATTGCTCGAGCAGCTGAATTTTTGGAACTTCAGAATTCCAATCTTTAAAATTCTCGATAGCCGTGCAAATTCTCTTATATGTAACGGTAGCGAGAACGTCGCCTTCAAGAAATTTCAGAATAACTTGCTTGGCGCTAGGCGGTTTCGATTTTTCCTCCTCGACTTTTAATCGTTTAATCTCAACACATTTTTCATTTTCTGAAAAAGGTTAAGCTTACAAAAAAATTATTTCAGTAAGATTTTAACCTTCTTTCGAACTTGGATTACTAGCAGCTCGTCTCATTTTTTTCAAGAATTTAAATAGTCACAACAACAACTGAAAAATAAATTAATTTTTAAAAAACAATCTTATCAACTGAGCGAAAATTATACAGTTTTAGCGGAAAAATTACCTACCAAAATATATATTTCGAAGTAAGTTTCAATTCAAACCAATAAAAATAACAATAAAACGCCTTCAAAATTTGGAAAGCGTTATCCGTTAACGCTTATGCTGTCATTGCAGGACCCAAGGACTGTTCTGAAATATTTACCAATAATAAAATCAAGCAGATAAATAAAATTAGGCCATAACGTCAGAATTTCGCAAGGAATAATATAACAACGATGCTTCGGCGTACATGTGCCCGCTGCTTAGCGCAATTATTCGAACCTTAACCACGCGCTCTGTCTACTTTTTATTAAAAAAAATTAAGTATTCTTGTGCCTACTGATTGTAATAATGAATGCTAAAATATAGGGAAAAATGTTTGGTTAAAATTGTTCATTGTAATTAAATTTATTTACGCAGACAGCCGCGAAATATGCAAAAATCTGCGAATTTTTTTTCGGAATTAGTATAATACTGGATTATTTTTTTTCTTGATTTTCTGTGTAAAATGCTTCTTGTTCGCAATGTACATTTTCAACTTGTGATTTCGCAGAAATCCGGTCGGGAAAAACGTCGCCGTTTTTCCATACTTTTTGTTTTCTGCAGTCACTCCTTGCCGAAAATAAATTCTTTTCCATATTACAGAAAAGATTAATGAATACTAAATTTTATACATTTGGAGTACTTTTGCTCATTATTCACATATCGTCAGGTAAAGTAAAAAATATATTTTTAAATCGAATATTCGAAAATTTTAGCTCAAAGTATTCCTGTAAACGATAAACGTGTCCCAGAAGTGTTTAAGTACTCTGAATCTTTAACGAGCGCACCAAGTATTGTCGAATTTTTACCGCTGTCACCAGTAAGCAAATTTTGAAGTATTCATTGGAGATTTTTTCCTCAGATTCGCCGATTTCGACGAGACACCTCATCGGAGGAAATTGATCCAGCAACTGCAACACTTCCTACTGACGTTGATGTCCAGTTAGATTCAGTATGTTGTAAAAAAAATAATGACAAAATCATGTTCCAACAATTATTTTCCGAATTAAAATCGAAAACTGCTCTTAAAAGAAATAGATGAAGTGTACCGATAAATAAGAACTCTTAAATAATTATTCTATTTTTTCAGTTCGATCATCAATATTATATTACTGAAACATACATGAAAGATGAAGTTGCTCTAAAAAAATATTGGGTACAAATTGATCAGCTTCTTGAAAAACCAAACGTCGTTGGAAATAAAAGTCATCCGCTGCTAAGCAATAGTTATAGAAGAGCTGTGGTTTGCTGTTTTTTATTGAAATTTTACACTCTAATCATTTCAGGGAACGAAAATTAGTTTTAAATTTCCGTTTTACGGCCATCGAATGTCAAACCTTACTATTGCAACGGGAGGTTGTTTTTTTTTGTTTTAATTTCATTCGTAATAATATGAAATTTGTATTAAGGATTCATTTATATCGGCGATCAAACCCACAATTGGCTAGCAGCCACTCAGTACATTGCTCCTCTTATGGCTAACTTTCACACGAATCAAAATGTATATTTTATCAAAACTGTTTTATTTGAACATTTCCGTTTTTACAGAACTCTAACATTATTTATGCTGATGATGGCGAAATGTTTGTTGTCGAATGGCGCAATGTGCAGCTAAAAGAAGATACTATGAATAAAAGTAATATAACTTTTTCGTTGGGGACTTACTATGTTTTTTAAAGATTCCTTCTCGTTTCAAGCTATTCTCCACAAAAATGGCGATATTGTTTTTGTTTATAAAGATGTAAGTAAGAACCGTTAATATCAAAATTATGATTATTTACAGATCCCAATTAGTATAAGTAATATCAGTGAAGCGAATCACCCTGTTAAGCTGGGAATTTCGGATGCTTATTTATTTAATCATAATGAACTTTCGAGGACAGGTTTGTGTAGATTTGCAATGCTTTGTTACGTCACAGTTACTTCAGGAAATCAACCAAAGCGTGTGATCTATGAATATCATAGAATCGAAGTTTCTCCAATTAAAGTTCGGTCAAATACAGTAGTTGTTTTAAAGGCACAACCCAGTAAGTACTTTATGAGAAACTATTGTGGATTGGCTTAAATAAAATATTCACAATAAAACGAGCACCCTGTTAACATTTGTGGTGAGTTTAATTCGCGCTATTAGTAGTACTCCCTGCTAAATAAAACAAAATATTCAGAAGTTCCTTGAGTAGCCAACGTTGTTCTAAATATTGTCGGCGTCGCGTGAATGCGAAAAATTGTCTAAATGCCGAAAAGCAATTGCAGTGATCTTAGCGCAAAGCTAAACGCGTAGATTTACTATGCTATGTGTAAGGATAGGTTAAAGGTGCACACGGCGCACCGAGACCTCTTTCAATTTTTTGCCATTTCGCCAATTTTTCGCAGTCGCATAATATTTGTGAGTTTTCTCAATTAACTTTAGAAAGAGTATATTTGGTCATTAAGTTTAAGGACATCTGACAAAACTTTAAGAAAAATGTTAAGTTCATTATAACTTTACCAATTCTCATGTTTTAGAATTGATTGAAGAACGATTCTCAAAAAATCTTTTTTTCATTTGCCTGTGCAGTTCCCCAATTCCCTCTTTTTAAATCAAAATTTTTATCACGCAAATAAATGAGATAGTCGCCAATTTTTCAAGGTGCTCGTTTTTTGCGATGGTAAATACCATCAACTAATAGTTGTATATTTACTATTAAAACTTTGCAGCGTGTATACAGTTCGAAACTTGTGAATCATGTTCCAACGCTACACTGAAGCATTTTAACTGCCAATGGTGTCACTCAAAGAGAAAAAATGGCGGTCCATTTTGTACCGATGACGCTGGACTTCATCGTCGACGACAACATTGGGCTGAAAGCAACTGCCACATTAAAAGCAAAAGTTTATATTGTGATGGAAAAGATGAAGACGAAGTCTATGATGATAACGATTTAAAAAAGTTGATATATATATATATATGTTTTTAAAGTTTTTTAGCTTGACTTTACAGAAATATCGAAAATCAACCTCATTTTCGTAAACCTGATCCCGATATTGTCGTGCCGTTAAATGGAGATTTTAAAGAAAACCGAGTTCGAAAATCAGATGGAGGTTTTCTCGATTTATCTTCAGATCAATGATTTGATTTAGGCCCAAGTGTTGCTTCATTTTTACTATTAGTTCTTCTTCTCTTCTGCGTTGTTGGATGGTTAGTATACGCATATTATAATCCGCATACAACAAGTGGGCAACTGTTAATAAAAGTAAGTTGCAAATTTGGTACAAAAAGAAACGTTATAAATCCCGTAATTATTCGATTTCAGTATCGACCTTCACGTTGGCACGTACCTAGCAGTCACGTACGATATAGCGCGTCGGTTCATATGTGATTGAGAAACTGTTCGCATCTTATTGTAAATTATCAATCTGCTTTACATTTTAGGTTGTTCACGTGTTATATTGTCTTGACAGGTTTTCTGTATTACAAATTCTTAAATAACTGATACAATTCGAATATTGGTTTGTATCAGCTGTAGGTTCATAATATGCTTTACGAACGTTGCTCTAAGCTTTCGTAAATGGTATCTCATTTAATGGGATAATTTTCATATTGCAATATTCGATCTCTAACTTTATCTCGTCTTTAAACTTATGGTATGGTTGCCATAATTTCTTAATTCGTTTATTGCTATTTTCCTGCTAATTAAGCGAACATGGCTTATAGTTTGAATATCGTTGTGTATTCATTTTTCTGTTTGTGGAAAACGGGAATAATTATCCTCCCCGTTTATAATTATGTCAAGAGCTTCTTTATATAGTATGTGTATCAACACTGCACCTTAGAAAATGGATGACAAGGAGGACATTTTCCAATGTGCAGTGAAAGGAATCTACTCTTCTGAAATATTCGTTCTAATGAATATGCGAACGCAACTCATAATATTTGATTCTATATCCTTTTTGAAATAATAAAACAGAAATTTTCAGTAGGATTTTCCTGATTCCCATACTATAGATTATGCGTAACATACGAAGTACTGAATAAAAGCTTTTAATTGGCTTCACATTTGGTTTTTTTTCACAGCCATTAATGGATGTTCGTATTGTCGAAGACATGACTTCCGAGGGCATCGGTGGTTCAGTGGTAGAATGCTCGCCTGCCACGCGGGCGGCCCGGGTTCGATTCCCGGTCGATGCACCATTTGAAAATTCTGGGCCCCGCCCAGAATTCAACGTCCCCGAAGGAACAATTTTTTGTGTGGCAAGAAACGAAGTTATCAGTCAGAAGCTCTTCATCGCCGCCCAAATGGACGGCTAGAGCCTTCTGTCATCACTTAACTCCGGCCCTTCGCAAGGGCAATGCTCCCGAAATTCTCCCTTCCTACGGCCGCGCCGTCTTAATGGGAAAAGAAAACCCCCCAATATCTCCCACGCGGCCGCGCCGCCAATTTGGGGAACTCTACCACGTCAAACTACATACCTGGGAGGTTCTCTTCCCCTTGGATCGCGCATCTCCTTCCTCCGCGAGATCGCTCCATAATCCGCAATCAGAATAATAGGTTTTTACTCCAGTTAGAAAGAAAAAAAACTAAAAAACAACGTTTTTTAAAAACCTCCTAACGCCGCCGCTAGGTTACTGTCGCTCCGCGCCGCGAGAAATCCAAGCGGCATTACTGTGCCGGCCTTTAACTTCTCCCCCTGCGCCTCCTTTGCGCCCGTTGTCTTTCCCTCAGCGCGCGTTATCTCTACCCTTTGGCGCGCGCTTTCTCCGTTCACACACTCTCTCTCCGCGAGAGATATTTATCGATTTCCCTCATTTTTTCCTCCCCTTTCGTCGAATTCCCGCGGAATTTGACACTGAGAGCGTTTTAAACATACGCAAATCTACAGTATACATTAAAGAATTTAAACTGTATTTGGCCTAAATCCTTTGAGTTTCCGACACAAATGTATTCTTCAAATCATTTATTTCTTTTTATTGAGACACATGCATTAATCGCATAGCAATATTCCACATACCGCTCCATCAAGAATATCGGCATTACTGTAAATTACATTATTTCTAGAACATTTTGTGTAATACCTATATCCAAAAAGACCACCTGACGTCATACCAATTGCGTTCTTAAATTCTCCCCTGCAATACATTTAATCAAACTATGGATATTCTAGAGCTTCAACTTGGAATTAACAACATTGGAATTCTTCTTGAACCATTTTCCTTTCCATATGTATGGTTTCGTCGTTGTCCCGTCTGTGAAGGAATATCTCTTGAATTTGAATTTTAGTTGAAACCAAAACAAATATTTGTTAAATTACAAAATCCTCTCTACATTCGGGCTTTTTCGCTAGTTGCTGTTTACCAAGTTTGCAAGAATTTTTGAGCTGAGCTCCAATAAAATGCCATTGTGATCCAACTTGTGCTGAAAATAAATTCAATGAAGGTATGATCTATATACAACTGCACACCTCTGAGATATTGGTACTCCAATTCAGTTTCTATTCCCATAATTCTTCCTCCGGGCAGCATGTCTTGGCAAAGTTTGACAGCTTGGTTGTAGTTTACTTTCTTTCGTTGAACCTCAAAAATAATGAGACAAATTAATATTTTAAAGCCATAATAACACCTACTCGGAAGCACACAACATTTCCATTTTGTCTTACGAATCTTCCCATCCCCCAACTTGGGCACGCCACTTGACACTTACCTCCCCATTGATTTGGTGTATCATACGCTGATATGATAGCTACCGAAACGAGGAAGTAAAAAATACCAGGAAGTGAGAGCATATCTGTTATTTTTCTTACGGAACTCTCCTTTTATATCAATGTTTATTGCGATTCGAGGAAATAAACCATAAATTGTGCGTGAGTTTTACAATGTAATAAACGGATTGTGAGTTCTACGTTTTTTTCTTCACTTCTGTAATATCAAATTTATAATTTGAATATCATTTCGAACAAAAATAAATTAATAATTATACATTATCGCTAATATGGAATTTCGTTTTGAATATACTGCAATTGATCGTACATCTTAGATCGGATGTTCAGGAAGCAATTTGTAATTACCGAATGCATGTACCTATAAAACGTTGGCTTGCATGAAAACCGTCACAAAACTATCTTACTTGGCTGCGTCCTTTTCACCCATTTCTGGAGCAAATCGCGCTCTAAGTTGTTGAATTGTTTTACCGCGGAAACATGGAAGACCGGTGTCAAGCATTAGAGAAACAAGCGAAACAAATGACTAAATATGGGTTAAATAGATATTAAATCAATGAGTTTTGAAATTACCCTATGATAAGGCCTAACAGCAAGGTATGCATGAACACATAGGCTGGCGAATTGGCGGAATGGTACTGCCTCCATTTTACCGCCCATAATTGCAACCATTTCCTCGCTTAGTTTGAAATCAGGCTCAAATCCTAAGTTTCCGCCTGGGCTGCTTTCAAACATGAAACCGAAATCGATGTGAATAATGTGACCGTCTAAATCAATCATGATATTTCCATTGTGTCTATCTTTAATTTGCAAAAGGAAACTAAAGACGGAATATGCAGCCATGCTTCTTATGAAATTTCGTCGAGCTTCCTAACAAGTAATAAAATTATTTGACTCGATAGGTATATTTTTCCACCTGAAATGATTCACTACTTTCATCTCCATATTTGGTTTTAAAGTATTCGTAAAGTCCAAAATCTGTGGTTCGACCAAGTTGATCTCTACTCTTTGAGTTAGGAACACATTCGATAACTCCACAGCCAGGAGAAGTGGCAACGACGCTGAAAATGCCTTATTTATAACGTTAAGTAGCTTTCCATGACAAACCGATATGGGAACACACGAACTGGTAGCCCTAGACTGATCCAGACATTCTTCATTAGTTGCATAAGCTGTAGTGCCAACATGTCTTGGCGAACATCATCCCCCACTTTGAAAATTGCCGCTTGCCAGCAAACTCGACTATCTTGAACTTTTCGGAGTTGTTCTAAGTCGCATTCTTTTTTATTTCCATTTTCCGACTGTGCAGCAAGGCCCAGCCGTTCAAGTTCCTTTACTCCGCATCTTTTAACACGAAAACTAGCTAAAAATGGCGCTTTCGCTGCACTTTGCATCGGTGTTCCACTGGCATAGTCCAAGTCCAAAAGAATTGCTTCCGGATTCGATGGCAAATATGTTATTGTTTCAATTTTGACATCGGCAAGTGCTTTAAGGCAGGCCTTTTTTCGCGCTTCACCTTTCGGATACGGTTTGATAGTTCCAGAAATTGCTGTAAGCTGTTTAAATAGATCGAATTCAGCTTTATGAAATCTTCTTGCTGCACCCTCTAGTTGAGAAATAATCTGAACAATTTTTTTGTAAATCAAACAATTTTTCATTTTTTTAAGTACCTTGCACATTATATCATTCAGCGGTTCATACAAAACCGGATCTTTCACTTTGCTCTCTTCATCAATATACATGTTAGTTTGCATGTTCCAAATTAGCTGATGTGCCAATAGCTGTGAATGTCCGCCCAACCAAATTATGAGCTCGGCAATATAACCCATCTAAAGTCGGATTTCCAAATGAGTTAAATTCTATGCTCATCACCGTATCATGTCGAATCGTCTGAACTATCTGTGGAATGTACATCAGCAAGGCATCTGCAGGATATGATCTAAGCACTCGGACGGCATACTGAACAGTAATCGGGTGTTGTGGATATTGGCGAGGGGTCAAAAGTGAAAGTGCCATTACTGGAGAACATCGGCACCACGTTAAAACATATGACATCTGAATATTCACTTTCAACTATGATAACATCACATATAATCACATCTGTTGTTTCAAAAACTGCGGTGTCTCCAAGAAATAGCGGTAAAGCTTCGGGAATATGTGAAACAGCTTCTGGCTGTGATCGTACGAGATACTGAACAGCGACTCTAAGAGATTCACAAGTACGAAACCTAAAAACTTTTTTAAAAAATAGAGGTAGTGTAAATACCTCGTTGGTAGAAAAACCGCAAGCTCTGGTGAAATTTCCCAAGCAAGTCGCGCGCTTTCACGAAGAATTTTACTCTCCGTTCGCGCGTCACTTAATGTACTTTTCATCCACTGCTCGACAACTATTGCGCCGTCTTCTTGGCCTAAAGCCAACGGGTGGAGCCACGCACAAAGCCGTTCGATTTCATTTCCCTATTTAAAAAACTGCATTCAAATTGCAAAATTTTAATTTACTATAAGAAGGAGAAGAAGATGCCGCTGTTTCATATACCGTTTCACCCTTTTTTCTCCGTCTTCGCTTAACTTTCCACCATCTGTTTTTCCTAATATTTTCGACATTTGAAACGCGTGAATAAAGATGAAAAGACTAAACCTCTAAACGAGCTGGATACCGGTATCGACTTTTGAGATAAAGTCAAAGTATTGGCGTAGTTGGTGGATGACGGAAGCATTAATGTCGCAGCATTAATATTTGACCATGTATTAAAATTTTTACTGTTAATATTGCAAATTTATGTTTTTCCTTTCAATTCCGGAACAAAACTTACCTCGTTCCGAAAATTTCGTTACCAAATGTCTTGTCATAGGAAGATTGCACTTGAGCTAATGTATTTGTCAATGTGATTTCCTTTTCTGTGAAAAAAATGCATACATTTATGTAATAACTTGAATGCCTACCGAGAACAGCAGAGACTTCTTTTTTAATGTATTTCCCGTCTGAGTATACAGATTGCCAAAATCCAATCAGAAGTCTTATATCTTCACGAAGTTCCTCTTCGGACTGTGTTGGTCCTTGCGGAGGAAGACTTAAAAACAGGATCAGTTTAAAACGACTGATCGAAATAAAAATAATTGTCACGGTGTCTCGAGTTAAAAAGAACTGTACGTGCCTGCGTACGCGCATTCAGTATTTATATAGCTCATAATAAATTTTCAAATTTGTCCATTTTCACCGAAAGAAACGAGTGTACTTGCATAATTGTGACCATTCGGTTTTTCAAGGCGCAAATTCAAATTCGAATTAAAACAGTGGGAATTCGGATACCGTATATTGGATACGCTGCGAAATTAAAGGGCGCGCGTTTTTTTGCGAATGTAATATAATTCAGCAAAAATTTTCTGACATATAGCGACGCTGAATGTAATTATAAAAATGGAAAAACAACCATACGTGAAAAAATGGAAAGCAGAAGCATATACTCTTTGCCTTATAAGAACGTTCGAAGGACGTGAAAGGGACGCCTCGCTTTGTATTAATCCTAAAAGCTTTAATTTCATGAAATAATTAAACCTATTTACCCAAAATGCACGAAAGGAGTCGGAAGCGAACACCAACAGCTTCTATGCATCTAGTCATTTTTTCTAAACAGTAAAATTAGAGAATGATTGTTCTGGCTTAATACTTAAATGTGCCTTTTTAAATTCGTTTTTACGCATTGTTACTTACTTTGATGCTCATGAATTTGCATACCAACAGTTCCTTCAATTCCAATTTGAATGTTTGAACTAACAACAGAGGTTTTTGGAGAATTTGAGCCTCCCACGTGTAAAGATATGGATTGGGAAAACATCATTTCAAGTACATCTAGCTGTTCGCGAGAAGAGTACGCCGCAACATCGCATCGCTCACCAATAAACTAAAATGCGCAAATAACCATCGAGATGTGTTAATTTAATGCCTCAATCCAAGCACGATGTGGTTTGAAATTTGGCGGCGTAGGTGGTCGTTCAATCTGTTGGCATAATGGAGAAACAGCCATCTCTTCAGATTCTGCTTCGAACACTCCAAGTCCCCATCTGGCAGAATCAGAGAATGCCCGAGCAAGTTCACGAAGAAACTATAAACGCAAAAGTAATTTCATTTTCAAAAGTACAACCAATCTCACAGCGTTATGTACATCAGGTTTAGCTGAAAGTAACCAATTCCAACTCATCGTGCACAATTCAACCGTAGATTCCGTAAAATTCTTCAATGGAGTTCTTACAAGCAACGTCAATATCCTCTCGTTTTGGCGTCGAAGACTCACAAACAGCGCTGTGAGTAATAACACAGCCTGTTCCATTTCCTCATCATTTCCATTACGACAAGCTCGTTTAAAATCAGCTTCAAGTTTGTCAATAAGCTCCTTTTCAGCAGTTTTTTCGTCAACATCACCACTAAGACGAGAGGCAAGCATTCCTTTTACCTATAACAATCTAGGTTTTCAAAGAATCCTAATAATAATTACCTGTCCTAGATAAAGACTTCTCTTATACAGAGATGTCATGTAAACACCGCTATGTTTTGAATCATTATTGGCCTCGTTAGCAGCATCCATCGCAAGTTGCATTGAAGTGTCGCAGGTGGAACCAAACTTTGACACATATTCCTTAATTTTAGTACGGTATTAGAAAGAAAAATTGAATAAAATGTCAGAAATTAATCCGAAAATTAGATAAAATTTTTACCAATTTTGGTGAGTAAATTTCTGTTCAATTTTACACTCCATATTGTTAGCACTATCTAATAGAATCTCTCGATTTGGTTGAATAATAAAAATTTGTTCAGCCATAATCAAGAAATAAAATAGTACTCGGCAGATTTTATGTACACATTTTCACCCACAATGGGAATTTCGCTTAGGCTTTAATTGGAAGGTACTATATACCAACCAAATCTACCGGTGGAGTGTTTCTTTTCGTAAATTATTGCATGTACATACTAGCAAATTGCTGTGTGTGCTGCCAGGTGCCCATTTCAGAGCTTCCCTTAAGATTTGCTTGACTCTCAATGAGTAATCTTTGACCACAGCTTTCCGACCATCATTAGAATCTTGAAGCTGAATAGTCCAATTGAAATCTCGCATTGAAAACTGAGGATTTTTGCATTGAATATCGGTTTGCAGGTTCTTTTGTAGCTCCTAAATTTAATCAAATACAGCCTAAATCTTCGCTATGCAAACCTGAAGAAGCCGAAGCATTGTACTCAAAACTGCGTTATTCCAAAGAAGATATGGAAATCGTTCAACCAACTGCGATAAGCACACATCTGCGCATTTTCGGACCTAAAACTTGTCCTAAAAATTATCTCAGTGCTATTTACCTCGCGTAAATTATGGTTAAACTTAAATAGCAAAAATTGAGCATGATAAATTAAAGCGCTTTCGGTTTCTTCATCACAGTCGCGTTTCTAAAAATGAGCATAATTAATGTTAAGAGTATGTTTCAGTACTTTTTTCAATGTCCATATATAACTATTGAAAATATTGGGGGCTGCAGCAAGTAAGCAAGTCCATATTCCCGATTTATCTTTGCGAATCGTTCTAAATAATTTTGTCGTGACAAGTTTTATGAATCAATTAGTTACTTATCCTCAAGATATCTGAAGTACGATTGAAATGCATCAATTTGATTTGTGTGCATCTTTAAAGCCGTTTTTGAATTACTCCAATAAAACTTGATATATTTACCACTCTCATCGTTTCCATTCGTAGAATAGAAAGAAGATAGGTACAGTTAGCAAAATCCATACGATTCACAAGAGGTACTACTTCCGGAGCGTGCTTCAGTTCTGACAAAACAGTGTTTCTCATTTCTTGAAGCTCTTGCTGGAATAATTTCCCATGTTATTTTTTCATACATTTGACTCACTGGAGAGATTGAATCATTTCTAATTGCAGCATTGTCGATCAGCTCAGATCGAAGATTTTCGGAAGCAACAAGAACTGGTGTTTTAGTAGCAGTCTCACAAACCGCATTATACCACTCTTCTGGCCAAAGACTCGAAGATTCGACATCAAAACCAAGAACAGTACAATAAAACCAAAAATCTCTAAACAATTATTTTAACCGTATAATTTATTAAGACACTCATACTTACCGAAACAGACTTTTCAGTCGATTTGAAGGTTGCAAAATTGGTTTCATTCTTTTTAAAAGTGAAGCAATTTTTGGCATTAGGACACCGAGATTTCCTGCGCTTGTTGACATCTAAACTTCAAAACATTCCATTTAAAACAAATCATTGTTTCACTGCCCCGACATTACATTAACTAAAAGCAGGAATAAAATGTTCGCTCAAAACTAATCGGATCCGATAAAATTAGACTCCGGAGTCATTACCAATGGATCCAAAAATACCCAAAAAAAACCTATTGGATCCGACCGATTGGTTTTGAGTTACCAGAGTGTCCATCACCGTTTATAAGTTGTTATTTTGAATTTTTTAATAAATAAAGGAAACATTGCGAAAAACATTTTTGGACCTCTTCATGAAATACAAATAAAACATTTTTACATCCTTGCATTATAAAATTTAGTGATAATGATAATTAATTACATAGTTTAATACATGAATTGGTCCACATGAGAAATCATTCGAAAGAAAAAAACTACTTCTAATTTGTAACAGTCCGTTGATCTTTTCCCATTTCTGAATTATTCGGGGTCTGCTTTTAACAAGCCTAACGAATACGAATGAAAAAAAAACTAGAACAACAATAACAATAGGCATTCAAAAATAAAACAAAAGCATTTGCTATAAATCAATGACACACCTTTACAGAATTCACTGAAGTGGACAACGCCACTACCGTTAGCTGAAAAATCAATAAAAACTAGACGCAAATTATTTGAAATTTAAAACCAAAACTCATATGTTCCATTATTTTACAATTTGTATAAAATTAGAAATAGAAATTCTGCTGAACGCTTGTAGATAATCACCCACCTTCACAGTACTTTTCGACACTTTTTCTCCAGCTCTTCTTCCTTCGATCCCTAATTGTACAAATAGTTCCAAAAGACGTACAAGAAGCGTCATTTTGTCATCTTCATTTTTTACGCCTTCTGCCATTCTACTCATTGCTACGTCCACAGCAAGAGATACATGTCTGAATAGTACACAGTGAACATAGGTGTGACATAGTGAAGTAGTTTGTAGCTAACCGAAAAAATGCGGTAAAGGAACATGTTCTGTGGTAAATTGTTTGTTCAAAGATTTTTGTATGCGACTACGAACCATTTTTTTAAAATTTCGTACAAAATCTAGCTCTACTATACGATTTCATTCTGAAATTTAAAAGAAAACCAATGCAAGCTTACCATCGCAAAGGAAAGCCCACGAGTATATTAGAGCGAGTTTGATAAAAATTTAGTAAAAACGACTGAATGGAATCGGGGCCATCAATTTCGCGAAATCAGCGCTGATTTACGGTGAATTAACTTTGCACTTAAAGAAAATCCAAATTGTCCCTAAAAAAATCCAAATGGTCGTAAAAAATCCAAATGGTCACTGTTCAAATTTGAATTTCCGCCTCGAAAAAATGCGATGGTCGAAAATGATGGACCTTTTCATTTGAATTCCCTATGCACGCACGTCGAAAATTACTAAAAATTGACGCGATATATCGAAATCCTCCGGTAATTATTTTCAAAGGCGCACGCGAAAAGTTGAGCGGGTCACGTCGCGAAGTCGGTACTGTATTTTTTTAATGGCTGTTTTTTTTTCGAATTTTTTATTTTTTGAAAGTTTAAAACGTTTTTCTTTGGAAATCTGTAAAAGTATTTTACTTAATCAACGCTAAATGTCCATAAGAAGCGTCATCGAGCGAAGTCTGCATAAAATCAACACAAAAATTACTATTTCACATAATAATTGGTATCTAAATGACGAAAAATGGACTTATATTGTGGAATTAGGTGTAATTATACCAATAATTGTTTTTTTTTACCTCGTTCTTCCATCCGTTACACATTTCCTCTTTAAAGTTTTCGAAAAATACGAAAAAATAGCACACAGAATGAAAAATAAAAAATACAGTACCGACTTCGTGACTATACAGTACCGACTTCGTCCATTTTTTTTGTAAATTTCGACGTAGGGAATTCAAATGAAAAGGTCCATTATCTTCGACCATCGCATTTTTTCGAGGCGGAAATTCAAATTTGAACAGTGACCATTTGGATTTTTTTAGTGACCATTTGAATTTTTTTAAGTGCGAAGTTAATTCACCGTAAATCAGCGCAGGGTGCTCGTTTTTTTTTTGCGAATGTAAAAAAAGAAATAAACATGTGCCCTAAATTTTTGTACCTTTTTGAAAAAAAAACCGCTCCCGTCCTTCACTCAGTTATATTATTACCACCGTAAAAAAAACGAGCGCCTTGTATAATTGTGGACCTTTGCACTTTTTCGAGGCGGAAATTCAAATTTGAACAATGACCATTTCGATTTTTTACTAACCTGCAAAGTTAGTTCACCGTAAATCGGCGCAAGGTGCTCGTTTTACAAAATCTACAAAAAAACACTGGAAATCGTATCTCGATTTGACCAATCCAGCAAAATGCAAAGTAGTCGAAATAGCCACTTTCAGCGCCAAATTTGAAACATTTTGTGTTATTGCGTTGGGTAAAAATAACATTTCGACAATTTTCAAGCATTGAATAAATCCATAAAACATACAGATTCAGGCGGAATTTCCATATGGACCACTTTCCGCGGAAATTGACCGAAACTTCTGCCGTTCGACTTTTGTTTTGACTTATTCAATTTTCCCGATTTATGTGTCCCAAGAGGCCCCGCAGCAGTGTTGAGCGCAAAGACATATTCTAAAATGAAAAAAGGAAGCGAAATGAAAAAAACGGCGGAAAGTCGAAGGCGGGATTCCGCTCAACACTGCTCCGCGATATTTACAGGGTGGCTGAAAATTACCCGGACTATATGAAAACCAATGTATTTCAGTGAATAATTGTTGAAACACGCTCAAATTTCGTATTTAGCTTATTTTTACAATAACAAACATAAATAGATTATCGTTGTTCGATTCGATCTTCGCGGTTTCTGATGATGGGGCGAAGACCTTTCGGATATGCGTCAACCGTGGCGCGCAGGTATTCCACCGACAATTTGTCCCATTCCTCGATCAGCGCTTTCTTTTGAGAGACCAAATTCGGGTGGGGACTAGCACAGACCTTACTCTGTAAGACCCCCATTCGGAATAGTCCAACAGATTAAGGTCAGGAGACGAGGCGGCCCATTCTGTTGACTTGATGAAGGAGGGGAAATTGTTGGCGCACCACTCCTGCGTAAACTTTGCAGTATGAGCTGGCGTCCCGTCCTTCTGGAACACCCATCGTTTTCCACCAAAGTGTTTTTGGGTCCAACGAAGCAAGTTCTTCTTCAGGATCTCATTGACATAGAAGTCTTTGTCGATTTTGACACCATTTTTCACGAAAATCAGAGGACATTTGCCATTGGAGCAGATGGCACCGAAGACCATAATGCTGACGGGGTGCGACTTACGATGAATCGTCCAGCCGAGTTCTGAAGCTTCCTCGGACGTTCGGGCAAGCACTCGATGTTTTTGCGAATTGAATTCGGTCTCCACGGTGAACAGCTTCCCGTCCGAAAAGACCATCGACAGATGTTCCCCAACCCGCGCGCCCGCCAAAAGGAGTTTTGCCTTTTGGTGCCGTTTGAGCTTGTTGGATTGAGAAAGGATGGCCGCTTTTCTGACACAATAAGAAGTCAACTTAAGCTTCTTTTTGACAATTGTTGTCATTGAAGCTCGTGACATATTCAGGGCGGAAGCCATTTTTCTGATGCTCTGATGAGCATTTCGTCTGATTCTGTCTCGGACGATCTTAACTTTCGAAGAAGTCGTCACCGTAGTTTTTCTTCCTCTGCCTGCACGGTCCTGGTTTGTGCGAAGATCCTTGAAACAAAAAATCGCATCGTAGACGGTGCTTTTCGGAATTCCCAGATGCTTCCAAATTGCATACGTGCCTATTCCGGACATGTGCAATGCGATAATTCGATTTGCTTTTGCTTCGCCATTTTGCTAAAACCGAACCAATTATCATGAAAATTTGAGAGATAGTAAAAAAAACGTTGCTAATTAAAAAAATTAAAAAAACATTGCACTGAAAAAGCACCAGTGCGCCTCACGAAGGCTCGAAATTTAAGTCCGGGTAATTTTCAGCCACCCTGTATATGTTGTTGGTCTCAAAGGACTAAACGAAACTAAAAATTATTGGGCGGCGAGAAGTACGCGAGACTGCGCGCATTGCATTATTGCGTACACGCACTTTATATTCAGTCAATGATAAATTTAAATCTACACTGATTTCGCAAATTTGATGACCCAGCCCCTTCAGTTGTTTGACGCCGATAATAAGTCGTTTAAAAAACAAGACTCTTGGATTTTTTTCAACACTAGGTATTCAGAGAAAAACCGCAACACTAAATTCCATACGTATAACGATGGTCGTTTGAATCCGAATTATCTTGCGAATAAACTCTGTTGGATGATTCGATACAAATTTGGGTAAATAATTTTGATACGCCGTCATGAATTGAAACCTAAAAATGAATACATTGAATTTTAATATCATTCGATCAAAAAAATACCGCTCCAGCAATCCACATCTCAGCTAGGCATCTCACCATAGCAACATCCAGATACGAAGGTGGATTGGCAAACCTTTGAAGATATATTTGTAATACCATGTCAGGAACATCGACGCCTTGGGTGTCTACTAAGCCAACACCTATTCCTCCAAGGGTTTGGATAGCATTTTCCGAAACCAATGACACAACACTAAACATGAATCGTTATTTTTTTTAACTTGGTACGTTTAAATAGTTGTAAAAGAAACCATTGCGACCAGTGTATCTACCTGGGACAGGATTTCCCGGGATCCCGGGAATTTCGTTTCCCGGGTTTATCCGGGAAATCCCGGGACTCCAATCCCGGGTCCTGTCCCGGTTTCGTCCCGCAACTACCCGGGATCCCGGTATCTCGGGATCCCGGGAAATTCATTTCCCGGGATGAGCGGGTTCCCGGGAAACCCGGGACAATCCCGGGAAAAAGTCTGCAAACACCGCGCGCGCAAACGCACACTCTTCGAATATTGCGTATTGTCGTTTTTTAATGAATTTTCTTATTTTAAAAAGATTCCAATGCTTAGAAAATGGAATAGGAAGTCTCTATTTGGAATTTTTAAAATTTCGCAGAAAAATGAGCACAATTGCAATGTGCAAATAACGATTTTTCCAAAAACGCCATTTTCTAAGCATTGGAATCTTTTTAAAATAAGAAAATTCATTAAAAAACGACAATACGCAATATTCGAAGAGTGTGCGTTTGCGCGCGCGGTGTTTGCAGACTTTTTCCCGGGATTGCCCGGGTTTCCCGGGAAATTAAGTTTCAATGAGTCCCGGGTCCCGGGAAAATTTTCCGGGAACCCGGCCATTCCCGGGAAACTTCGTCCTGGGTAGACACACTGATTGCGACTGCTCACCGATATTAATTAAAGAAATAACTCACAAATTTGTGGCATTCGAGCAGACGAACAATTTTGAGGAAAGACTAGCTAAGCACGCCTCAACACACTTTGATTCAACTTTTAAAGCGGACTTAAGAGATCTAAAAAATCTTAAATGATTCAAGTTTACAAGCTATAAAAATACCTGCACATTGCGTGAATTGCAGAGTTTTTAAGAGAATCCAAAGCTTGTTTTCGACTAGATCCGACGTCTGAGTTTTTAATATCCATAGTTGACTTTCCCATATTTGCCTCTGATGTAAGTTTCGTTAGCATTGGAGCAGGTTCAAGCAGAAACCGTGACAATATTGGTATAACGGTGGCAGTCGCTACAGCAGGAAATTTTTCCGCTATTTTCGCTAGAGAACTTAATGAGTTTGTGAAAATTGGGATTTGAGAGATGATTGATTTTTGAGGTAAATTGGTAAAAAGCCTTGGTGATATTGTGGAACAGATCAGATCCGAATCTAAAACAGTCAATAATCGTTTCAATTAAACCATCTAAATGAACCAATATCGTCGACAGCAGCCCAAGCGATCAATTGCAAGGCAACGGTAGCAGCATGAATATTTAAACGCGATTTTGAAATACAATTTTCATCGTCATTAATATGTATTGTAGCTTCTGAAGAATTAGAAGCTCTCGCAGTATCAAGCTTCTGCAACGCGTCTGTGGCAAAAGCATTTACCTGAAATTAATATCATGTTTCCATTTTAAACATTTTTTTTAAAACTAATCTGCACCTCTCTTGCAAATGTTTCCGACGCTGGAAAATCAACGCCTTTCAGATCACTATTTATCCACACTTCATACGGTGCCAGAATGTCGCGCAAAAAGCATAAACAGCATAGTCGAATTGTTTCGCTAATAGTTTTATACGGATATCTCTTGACAGATCCGGCCTGAAAACCACACTATCGTTAAATTGAAAATTAATTGAACAAACTCTAAAAACATCTGTTGATATTCTATCGAGAGATATTAAAAATTCGTCATCCATCAAACGTTGCACCTTAATTTGTCTTTCAAAAATATTTCTAAATTGTATTTACGGTGTCGAAGAGTTTTTCTAAATCATGTGACGTCATTTTTAGTTTGAGTCCTCCAGAAAACTGCCGAACAAGAAATGAAGTTCCGTGTTTATTATACACTTTAATTAAACGAGTTTCGTCAAATTCGGCATCATCCACATCTGACGGGGAATTCAAAAATTCATCAGTACTGATTTTCTGCATGCTTTTTCTAGACAATTATAAGTTTAACTAATGCTATTTTTTTGAAAAATTACGTTGATTTCAACTTTCCATCACAGTTGTCAATAGGCAGCGGAAAAATAATGGATATAAGTGGTCGCTCATAGTCTGTTGAAAATCTTCCAATAGTCCGAATTAATCCAAGAATATAACAAACAAGTTTTACAATATAGGCTAAATATATATATATATATATATATATACGGAATACATTTTTTGACGCAACCTACTTTTTTTATTTTCACGTTCTTCGCTATTCTCCACAAGTTCAATGACTGAAGAAACAGCACATGCCAGTGCGTCCGCTTGAGCAATCAGAATTTTTTCACGAAATGTTGGAAGTCGAGCAGCTAGATCCGAAAGCACCGTATTGAAACAAAAGGAAAATTGCTCTTGTACGGGCACCTCTGAAGCAAAATTCATAAAGTTAACTGGTTAATTAAAGATAACTTACTATCCGTTTTATTTATTAGTCCATCATCAATCCATTTCATATGCGGCAATGCAGCAAGGTATTGAAGAAGGGACGGAATGAGTTCGTCGGCTAGCTGAAACAAATAAAAAAGTTTTGTCGAATATATCAACTTACGTTCCCATGACTGTGAAGTAAATAGTTTCCAATAGCAATAAGAGATACTCGTACATTATGACTCAGAGACTGACTTTCTAAATCTGACTCTGATTCAGCTATTCCCAAAAATTTTCGAATGCTTGCAACAGTCGTTTTTTCAGACTGCAATTTTGTACATATTTGAATAATCGCTCGATTTTGCTTACTTTGGCCATACATATTGCAGTACATTGTTTATTTGTGAAAACAAAATCTTCGATGTCACGCATTTTTCTCAACGTGCTAACATTTCCTCAAAATTGTTATACTGTAAAAAAAAACCAATCTTCTTCGTCTATTCGAAAATTTAAACATTCATAAGATGAAGTAAAATTAGTAAATTTTATTAGTGGAAATTTTAAAGAATTTGCTCGATATATTTTGTTTGGTATGAATACAATGCAAAATTAAAAATCGATTGTGCAATAGTACGTAGAGTTTGGTGCATTGCGGAAAAAACTTTAAATTTTCTTTTTTTTTTTATTTTTCTTATATAACCGTGAACATAGTTTTTCTAGCAGTATTTTTTACGAAAACTGTGGAGAATTATGTGAATGGAGTATTCTTTGTTTGCCGCTCACAATCGGAGATTTATTTTTAATATTTTTAATTTTCACATTTCAGTTTTAGTCAAAAATGTTAAACGACGATGATGAACAAAAAGGATACACCTGGGAAGCTGGATATGCAGATGGTTCAATTGAATTCTAAAAAAAGCTTTTAAAATGCCAATTTTTAGGGTTAAATATCGGCGAGGTGCTTGCTGAAGACGACTCGGGTTCTATCGAAAAATCAATTGCCAAGTTTATCGCAGATTCTAAGAAAAAATCGAGACAAAATTTGAGACCGCAAAAAATTCGCCTTGGAATTGTGGGCATTTTTTTAAATTTTAATCTCCGTATTTTAAATGTTTCATTTAGATGCGACACGTAATGATTGTAATTGATTGTTCAAGATTTATGACAAATAAGTCAATGCCGCCTTCAAGATTTGCAGTAGTGATGAAGGTAATATATAGTATAATTAGACATATTTAAATTATCTGAGATAATAATTTTTAGGCTCTTCACCAGTTTTTGGACAAGTTTTTTGAACAAAACCCCATTGCACAAATCGGATTCATCACGTGCAAAGATAGAAAAGCAGAACGACTTACACCATTAACAGGAAACGTTCGCATTTTAAAAGATGCTTTAAATTCGTTAACAGAAGCGTTTACTGGTGGTGATTTTTCACTGCAAAACGCTTTACAACTTGCTAGCACTAATCTGAAGTAAGCGATCGATTTTATATACTATACAATTCATTTTTCTATAGGGGTGTTCCTGGGTATGTCTCACGAGAAGTAATAATTGTTATGTCCACTCTTTCAACAATTGACCCTGGAAACATTTTTGTCAATATCGAAACAATGAAGTCGCTAAGCATTCGATGTTCTATTATTGGACTTGCTGCCGAAATGTTTATATGTAAAGAACTGGCTAAATGCACAAAGGGAAATTATTCTGTTGCTCTCGATGCGGATCATCTTCATACCTTATTTTCTAAACTCACTGCACCGCCTTCAACGTCGAAATCAATTGATTGCAATGCAATTCGTGTCGGTTTTCCTCCTCATAAGGTGATCACCACGCGATCTTTTTGCGTCTGGTCAGTTTTCATCAATTCTGCACGTCTTCTAATGTTTCATAGATATTTAGTGTCGAAATTTTAGCTTTCCCAAAAAGTTAAAAAATTTAGAAAAGCGTTGTCTCTGTCACGTAATTAAAAAAATTCTTTGATTGTCACTTATCAAAACTCAATGGGTTTAAATGTTATTTTCTAGTCATAATGATTCGAGTCCAATATCCAACCGCGGTTTCATATGTGAGCAATGTGGAACGAGGCACTGCTCTATTCCCGTAGAATGTTCGATTTGTCGGTTAACTTTGGTGGCTGCTCCCCAACTAGCGAGAGCTTTCCGACATCTGCTGCCACTTGCTCCATTTACGTCACTCTCTGTTAAAAACCGGTAGACAATTTTCAGTTTTTTTTTTATTTTCTGTAAATTTAGTCAATGTGCAGCTTGCGAACTCAATATTGAGGTCGAAGGTTTTATGTGCGGAAAGTGTTCATCAATTTTCTGCATTGACTGCGATTCACTGCTACACGAGAGTTTGCACGTTTGTCCTTGTTGTTAACATGCAGTTTTATGGATTTTAACATTGTTTCATATGAATATCAATAAAAAATATTTTGTCTAAACTGATTTTTGTTTAGAATCGGTATAAACCAGGTTTATATATTTTTACATGAAGGAAAAAGGGGAAAACAAAAAAATCAAATAAAGACAAAAACATCGAGGCTTTGAAAAGAAACACCATATATTCTTCACGTTTCCCTTAAATCAATATTTATTGGTGAAAAGTGACGTTGAAAACGTATATGTCGTGGGATCGGGCGTTTGGTACGGTACGCAGTTTGTCTAAAGATTTACCGTAATTCGCGTGGTGACTTAAATTTTCCACAACTTTCGTAATGTTTATATATATATATATATATATATATATATATATATAATATATATATATATATATATATATATATATATATAATATATATATATATATATATATATATATATATATATATATATATATATATATATATATATATATATATATATATATATATATATATATATATATATATATATATATATATATATATATATATAATATATATATATATATATATATATATTAAAATTGTAAGGTCTTGGCTTATTTTTCTTATTGGCTGATTATTTTTTAATTTTTCTGTTGAATTTAAATATTCGATATATTTTTAGATGTTGCCATCTTTGCTTTTTCTCCGGGACTTTATGAGCCGACCTCGTAACGGGGAAAGTGTGGTAGAAAAAGTAAGGAGAATTTCATAGATAAAGTGTTGAATATTACAATCGCAAAAAACGATCAGCGAGTTTGATTAGAATGTTATACCCAAATTTCCACTCGTTAAATTGAAACTTGACTTAACGCCACATTGAAAATTCGATGGTACAAAAAAAACTCAAGATACTTTTTTGCGATGTTATTATCATGAATATTTTCATCATTTTGATATTTTTTCCAGTTCCAAAACTCTACGAGTGAAAATGCATGTGTGTTGATTTTTTCGAACTTGAATGAAACAAAGATGCCTTCAGCTAATCGTTCTGCCGGATATTACTCTGGTTTTCTAATAGATCTTGTTGAGAGGATTCAAAGAAACTTTCATCCGGATAACTATGCAACCGAAGTAAAGTATAAAAATATTTTTAAACGAAAATATATTTGCAAATTTACAGGCGCATTATTGACGAAACATTGCCTGTTTATGGAAAATTGTTGGGGACTCGTGTTACAAGTGATTATAATTCAGTGTTTCGAGTTTTTCATGACCCGGCAGAATTTCTCGAGTATTTCCCAAAAATCATTCTATTCCTATATACTCGTTTCAGAAAGGCAAGTATGACACTTGAAGAGATGGACAGAATGACAAAAAAGCTTTTTTACATGTTTGGTCAAATGATTAATAAAACTGAAGTAATAAACACTCATTAAAACACCTAATCATTTTTTTTAGTGGAAACAACTTTTCAACGACAGATTTCTGGAAGGATTATTGATGGCTTCGGATATTGATCAGCCTGTTTATGACCGTAGATGGTTCAACAACTTAGAATTTTGTGAGCATTCATTATAAATATAACGAAATGTACACATTTTCAGTGTATGTTCGTGATTTAATACTGAGAGGACATCATTCGCAAAAATTTCATCAAGTATATTCAACTCAGGAATGTGTTGCTGTTTTCCTCGTGAATATTTGGTATTCGATTTTACGGTATATCATCTAACGGCTTCATATCTCTTAATGTTTTTTTATTTAGAGATAATGTTAAAATTAAATTTGGTCTAGATAATAGGCTCAAGTTCTATTCGAGAATTATGTACAAAGAAGCTAGAAAAGATATTAAGAGTGTAAGTAACATATTAAAATGTTTAATAAAGAACAAAGGTTTTTAGGCATCATCCATTCTTGAATTAAGCCCAAAACCTATGAAAAAAGAAACATTTGATGATTATTGCGAGATTATCGAAGAAATTAATCACAAAAACGAAGAACCGGTAAAAAAAGGAAGGAAGCGTGATTATTGCGACATTAACGATAAACCAGAGTCAAATATTCACAACAGAATTGAACCGGTAAAAAAAAAGAGCTTTAGTAATTATTTCAAAAAAAATCTATTCATTTAGGCTTCAAATATCCTAGGTTCAATGTTATTCGAAGGTTCTATAAGTTTATTTGCTTCAAATAAAAATCCTATGAATTACAGGAGATAGTGTCTTTCCAGAGAAAGAAATTCTTAATGAGTTAAAAGATTCTGACTTGCCGCCATACTTCCGTGCCGTTGTAATGTATGCCAATGGAAAAAAATGAAATAACTCGAAAATTTAGGCAATTAGCAGAACAAAATCAACATTGTCGTCTCGATATCAGACAATTAAAAGAAATTACCAACTTGAAAATTCTTGAAAAGAAAGCGATACTTACGAAAAATATGGTTTCATAGAGGGTTTTGAATTACTCATTAAAATGTTCAATTTAATTGTTGTTGTGCTTTGTTGTTTATTCCGTTGTTGATTTTCTGTTGTATTTTGTTTCGTGTTTTCAAAGTTATTCGCAGTAAGTATTTTTGGTATTTTCATGAGAAGTGCTAGGGTCATAATGCTATAAATGTAATTTTTTAAAGCTTAGTGCTAATTGTTTTTATTTTTCTCACGAATTTTCAGTCGGTTGCCTCCTACGATTATTTGTGATGTGCGAATACAAAATAGCATTTGTACTGTGAGATTGAGATCACGAACCATCTTCTAGCACGCAATGGGAGATCAGAAACGCGCAAAATTTTATTTGGCACCGATGGTGCGGTATTCAAAGTAAGAACACAAACGCGTTGACATTCAGAAGCAAATACTCGTTAATTTGTGAGTTTAATTTGTTTTAGACTTGCATTTCGACAGCTTGTCCGTTTATATGACGTTGACGTTTGCTATACTCCAATGATCTACGCGAAAAATTTCCTCGAATCAGAGAAATGTCGTAACAGTGAACTTTCTGTTACTAAAGGTCAGGAGAATGAAAATTCCGAGATTGATGTATTATTTAAGGAAGTAAATTTTACAGAAGACAGTCCATTGATTGTACAATTTGCCACCGATGACCCATTTATTTTATCATCTGCTGCAGAAATGGTATATTAGTAAGATAGATTCTCAGGAAATCTGTTCAATTGCTCCTTTAGTTGTTCTTCTGGCGTGGATGTTAATTGTGGCTGTCCAAAACACGATGTAAGATCTAAAGGATTTGGAAGCGCTCTTCTTGATAAACCAGAACTCTTAGCTGATATGGTTGCCCAAACAAGAGCCAAAATTCTCGACTCAAATTTTTCGGTATGCTGCATTATGGGCGGGAGAGTTTATTCGAGTTTTCATTAAAGATCTCTTTGAAAATACGAATTAATGAACATTTGCCGAAAACGGTCGACTTGTGCCAGAAAGCAGAAAAGGCTGGTGTCAGTTATCTTTGCGTTCACGGCAGAACACCATCGCAACGGTCGGAACCAATTAATGAAGAGGTGCTCCGAATAATAAAGTTAAGTAATTTATGCTGTTTTAACATTAGTGGTACAACTAATGTTATCGGACTAGAAATATGGTATAAGCTGATAATTAGTATGCCGAAGCTTTAGTGCCTGTTTCTCATATTGTTTTAACTTATAGGATTCAGTCGATATCCCTATAGTTGCTAATGGTAGCATAACAACCCGCCAAGAAGCTCTCGACATAGTACACCGAACAGGTGTCGATGGAGTCATGGTTGCCAACGGCCTGCTTACTAATCCAACTCTGTTTGCTGGTCACGACTACACCACGGAGGGGTGTGTGAAAAACTTTGTAAATTTAAAATTCCTATATACAATTAAGTTTTTATTTGTTTTATTTAGATGCGTCTTTCTCGAGATCATGGTCTCGATTGGATGTTATACCATCAACATTTACAATATATGCTTCGGTCTGTGATGACTTCCCAGCAACGTCGAATATTTAATGAACTGAATGGTCGGTTGGCGGTAGATGAATTTCTCCATAAAATAATACTTTCATAGTTCAATCAAATATTAATTATTATTTTTGTTTGCAGCATTGGTATAAAAAAAGTAAATTGAAAAATTCATTTGTACAATTTTAGTCCGTACTCGTATATTACTGTTTCAGAAGAACACGTGCCAGTGCGCGAAAATCGGTCGCTTCGTTTAGTTTCTTAGCAATACCAATTGGTGGTTTAAAGCCGGGCGGTCCTGAAATCGTCAATGTTATGAGGAGGATACCACGTGAAACAAACGTGTGATTTTTCCTTTCAGATTTCTCTGCTGAAGGTGTGCAGGAGGGACGGGACCACCTCTGACTAAATCTTCTTGCATATTTTAAAAATGTATTTAATTTAGTACCTATACCTGAAGTTCGGGTTTTATGATGTATGACTGCGGATGGCGCACGACGAATATTTCTTCAAAATTCGTTGAATTTCTGTGGAAAATGTTAGTAAAAAAAATCACGCTTACGTTCTTCTCTGCGCTTCAGCTCCAAAAACGGTAAGAAAAACAAGAAGAATCACAAAAATGCGCATGATTCCACTGAGAGAATGATACAAACTGGCGGAACGGAAGTTTTCTGATAAAAAAGGTCGTTTGACAGCAATTCAAAAATGGGCGTGGCAAGCCGACCGACCTTCGATTTGAATATAAGATTAATCGCACAGTTAGGTGATAAACCAGAATGTTTAAAAACAGATAAGAGAAAACAGTAATGTCTCGAGAGATTATGAAAGCCAACCAGAAAACGAAGACAAAAATGTTTCGTTTAATTTCGGTTTTTCTCAAAAGGTCAACCCGAAGCACTAGTTTTTTTGAGAAACTCTTTACTTGACAGTTTCCTCTGTTCTGAAGGTCAACAAACACTAGAGTTTTCGATGCTGGACGCAAACTAACGGAAATTAGTTAATGAAATCAAAAACGTCTTTATATTTCACTAAAAAATGTTTTGGGTTTGATAACTTGACGAAGATATTCACCAAATACAACATTTTTCGAAAACAGTTCAATATCATTGACCAATCAACTCATGCAGAAAAACGCGAAAAATCCAAATCAAACAAAAGAGATAAATTAATTTGAAAACAACCTTGAACAATAATTCCGCGTTTGTGTTGCTCGGTTTTTGAATTTTTCGAAAGCAAAACTCTAACTACTTGTCATTTAAAAAGTAGAACAACAACAATTCTTCAAGATATAAAGTTCTCCCTATGGGAAACGTTTTCTATGGCGTCCCATTATGCCATAATGAAAACCAGAATTACAGAATTTCCCCCGAAATTAAATATCTGAGGTTTTTTAATCGAGAAACTTCACAATTTGTCAAATTCCACCTCATTTTTCATTTGAGGGCCACGATGTGATGAACAGAACCGGAACACCGTCGAGAGAGATAATGCGATTTTTAGAAAAATTCGAGGGCCAAATACTCAAATGACCACCGCACGCTATCAACGAAAAACTCGCTAAATTTTTGATAAAAAGTTCCAAGTAAACCGTCGAAAAAAACATGGTCAACCTTCACCAAGATGAGGAAAGAATTTGATAGCAACAAAATTTCCAAGAACCCGTTGATGAAAAAGGTCATTGGCGTAGAAAACTCAAATATCACTGCACACGATTCAGAAACGCAATTTTATCAACTCTAACATTATAATCCCATTGCCCCAAAGAAGGAATTCATATCTTCAGATTCTTCTTCAGTTGATGAGACGTCGATTAACGATTCTCCTCCTTCCGCTGCACATGATGATCGCCCTCCTGAAGAATCTTCGTCATCTGATAGATTTAAGGCTTCAGGACTTTCTGCTGAAACGTTCTCAATGAAATTTTGAAAGTTATATTTCAGAACAGTTCTTACCATAATGCTTCAAGTACCAGTCTCTGGTATTTCTTCTCTTAGATGATGATGGCAGTTCCTTTAGTACCTCTTCAGCCTCCTTTGTTGTTTTAAGAGCACTAATTCGGGTTTGAAGATAGCTAAAAATAATTTCGATTTCTACTTGTATTTGTAATACCTTGATATCTCATTTTGAGGAACATCTTTCAATTCATCGCTAGAAATTCCAAGTTTTTCGCAAGTAGCTATGATGTTAGTTATCATATTTTGTTTTTTCTCGATATCGTTCAAATGTTTTTCTGTCGCGTTCAAATCAGACTTCAATTGTAGAAATTCTTTCATCCTGTAAAAACATGAATAACTAATTCGAAAAAATGGCCCAACCATGGTTTCGTTGAATACGAATTCCTCCAAAATTGAAGATTACTTCTAACGTATTCATGAAGAATTTCGGGCAATTTGGCGTCTTGGATTGCTTTTTCTACTTCTCTCGTATCGGTAAGAATAAATAATTGAAGAATATCATCGCATCTTACAATAAACATATTACATTAAACATTACCAAAATAAATACAGACTTATTCATGAAATTCATTTTGTTACAAAAAAGGTAAAACATTGCATTAAATGTGCATTGTTTCATGCATTGGAAAAATGTACAATTTTTCAAAATTGCATGAACAGGTCCATTAATAAAGAACATACCGATTGATAAAAGCTTTGAAAAACATCTTCCAGTATCTCGAAGACTTGAGCTTTAAGTTCAATTTTTGACTTTCTTTATTCTTTTTTCGTAGACGTTTTTCCAGTGGTAGTAGTACGGTATTTTTTCTTGCTTAAACAATCTTAGACTGTGGTGAAATCAAAAAATACCTATTAAAAATGTTGTTTGGTGGTACAAAGAGTTTAAAAACAATGTTGTCTCTTTAGCTGAAAGCTACGACTTCGTCTTGATTCACTGTAATAAACAAACCGCAATCAGAACGAAGTTTCTCAATCGAAGGAATATAAATGGCTAAATATAACTTCGAAATATTATTGAAAAATCAAATAATCAAACTTCGATTACAGATTTTCCGTTTTAGTCCCTTTTTAGTTGCAGCAGATGTGTGGCCACTTTCTTTAATTATTTGGGTTTTCTTTCGTTTGATAGGAGTTCCGTTCATTCTCAAAAAACATTATAATATAGGGTTTAATATATGGGCAAATGTAGTGGGATATGAGGGTTCTAACCGATACAATTATTTTCTGCATGCATGTATACAATAAAAAAGTTTCATTGACAAGCAGAAACATTACTATTATTAGCACAATATTATTAGCACCTTCCATTCCAACGCCACTTAGGCTGCGATGACCTATCCACAACCATTCGGCTACCTCTTCTCCAATTCTCATCTGAACGAAATTTTAATTTATAACAATTTTGCCAATCTACCTATAGATGCCGCTGAATTTCTCAACATATCTCTCTGTTTAACGAGTTCTTCCTTCTGAAACTTTCTTCCAATATTTTCTATTCCAATATAATAATCATTTATTTCAAAAACGTGTAAAATATCGAGAGTAAAGAATCGGCACTGTACCTTTAGCAAATCATGTTCAAATCTGCACAAATCTCCACGGCTGCAACCTGATTCACGAAAACAAAAATAAACGCAAGGTTCGTTGATCTTCCAACCGCATTGTGTCCAAGGCTTTTCTTTTTTCTGTTCTAATAACTTCGATACAGTAGTGCACACAGTCTGTGACAAGGTAGTTGGATCGACTTGATTCTCAGTTGGAATAAATCCCTCCAAATAAATAGGTAAGTTGTTGGAAAAATCTTTTAAATACCCTGCTCTTCAGCTTATCGAGCATTTCTTGAAGTGCCGAGGGAAGAACAGAATTTTTTGAAATGGATCCGTTGTAAAATGTTTCGGTCTGAATCATTATACATATAAATTTGAAAAATCAAATTTAAACCATGTTTGATTTTGATTCATTAATAAATATCTGATTGTACGTAGGTGAAGTCTGTTTTGAGATCTAAACGAGAATGAAATCAATTAAAGACTACGAACCTATTAAACCTCATAGGATTGTTTCCGTCCCGGTAATGGAAGTCGCCGTATTTCACTTCCAGAAGTATGCTTTCTAATCAATTCGCACGGAATCTGCTTAACATTGGTGCAACTCTGCACTCTTGCTTGCTCTTCCAAATCTGGATCGTCCACAATATCAAACGTACTTAAATTATCAAATATTAAATTTTAAATATCGTCAAAGACGGACAACTGATGGGGTAATCTAAAATTATAGCATATTATATGTTTGCGTATATAAAATTTCGAAATCGTTGAGCTTAAGAAAATTTTACTTTTATTTCTTACTCCACTACCGTTTTTTCACTACCAAGTTTTCACTACCAATTTTCTTATACTCATTCTTCTTGATTTCATCAATAATCCACTTCATTTAAAAAAGGAATTTAAAGAAATTCTTTGTTATTAAATATTAAGGAAAAAGTTAAATTAAATTAATTTTTAAACGAGTGAAAATTAATTTAAAAAAAACACTTTACAAGGAACAAAAAAATATTTCAAAATTTTCTTCCGTCCACAGCCATGAATATCAGCCTAACTGCATTGTTTTTAAAATGTTTTTTTTCCTATTCGTGTAATTAACAAGATTATTTCTAACAATATTTTATAGATATTGTTCACATTATTTTCAACATGGAAAAGTTTGTATTCCAAGTTAGGAATGCATTTAGGAAAATTAAATCTATAGATAATAATTGTTTGTCTTCTTAAATAATTTTTGAAATATTTTTTGTTCATTATGGAGTGTTTTTTTAAAATTAATTTTCACTCGTTTAAAGATTAAATCAATTTAGCTTTTTTCTTAATATTTTATAAAAAATAATTTCTTTAAACTCTTTTTTTCTGAAATGAAGTGGATTATTGATGAAATCAAGAAGAATGAGTATAAGAAAATTGGTAGTGAAAAAACGGTAGCGGAAAACCGGTAGTGAAAAAACGGTAGTGGAGTGAGAAATCGGTAGTGAGGAATCGTTTGCCGGAATTTTTCCTAGGAAAAACCATAGACTGCTTCAGTCTCCGAACCATTTTGCTACTAAACACCACGGATAATGTGTTCCTGACAGTTGTCCATCTTGAATAATCGTCCTCACCCAAAAAGTGAAAGACCTGTTATCCTTAACATCTGTTGTCGTTTAATCTCATTCAAGTATGCTTGTGAAATTGGCTTAGGTTTTCGTTTATTTGGCAACTCTAACTCCAGCAACTTCCAAGTAGAACACTATAAATAATAATAAACATATTATAAATAGATACATGTAATGTTTCTTAGAACGATTTCAATCGAAACCAGTCAAAGAATATGTGCACTGAGTCCATTTGCGATAAAATATTGTTGAAGACGGACGAATTTAGGGTGAGGGGGCGTTGCGTATTATTCAAATTTTGGCGCCATGACCTTATAATAATTTTCGATTTTGACCTGGTATGCAATGCATTGAAAATTACAGTAGACATCAAATGTACAGGCGAAAATTCGTTGCTTTCGCGCTAAGATCTAAAATGGCTAACGCGTTTGATTACTCAAATTTGTCAAATTCGTCCAATAACTATGCTTTACTAATAAATAGTAATAATTTAATATAAATAATAATAATTTATTTTATCTACATTTCGAAATTTAACGTCTTCTTTGTGCGACATTCATTACCTAACAGACCTGAATGGGTACTTGAGACCAAATTCAGTTATTGAAATACGAAATTCCATAAATCAGCATGTCGCGTGTTTATTTCTGAAAACGAATATTGTAAAAAACATACCGAATGTTTAATATATTTCCCTTTTGTTGCTTCGAACATGCATCGCTCTCCTGAATAACAATATTCTGAAAATATCATTAAAATGATTACCATCATCCTCAATTGTATCAATTTTATATTCCATTGCAAGGGGTTTACCGTGCAAATCTCCAAATGTTACACACTTTCGTTTCTTTTTATCAGGAAAACCTCTCTTTGCCAGAATTGAACGGATGTTCTCCTAAGTGTAACGGTTAAAATCTTTAAAGAAAATTAAAAATGTAATTTTCGCAAAAATGATTTTGAAAAAAAAACGCAGTTATTTCCTTGATAAAAATAAATTTCCAAACCTCTTCTTTGGGCATTGGTGTCAGTGAAGAACGCTTGCTCATTCTCAAATACGTATTGATCTCTCCTTTAAAGTAAAGTCAAAATCAAATAATAAAGAAAAGATAAATTTTCTTTGAATTAGACATATTTAATATTCGCAAAAAAAAAAATAAAAATCGCTTTGATTTAAAATGTTATTAAGTTTATATGAGGGGGATTAAAACAAAGCCAATAAAATATAACGTTAAAGTATCTATTAAAATATTCATTGAAATTCAAATAAGCATGCTCGCTGATGATTTCTGATTTCCGTTGAAGAATTTCGTAACTTCTCGAGAGATACTCTGTGATATAAAATTTAGGAATTATTAGAAAATTTTACAATTCTTACGTCGGGTATTTTTTTGAATCCAACAGTTTGAGGGCTTCCTCGATTGCTTCTCGGTCATCGCAAACGTTAGTTGATTCATTTTTAATCATCCATCTCATGTAATTCGACTTTGAAATTTTACCACTTCTATAAACATTTAACACTATTTGTGAATAAAAAATGAATTTAAAAACTTCTTGGGATCCAATTTGGCCAAAACTTCGGTTCTTTCTTCATCAACTGATAATGGGTAACCTTGAGATTTAACGCACAGCTCGAAGTGTTCATAATCCAAGAATCCTTCATTCTTTTCATCAAAGTAGTCAAAGGAGTTTGCGAATTCTTGGATTTGTCGCTCAGAAACACCCGAATTGCTACGATCATAGAGCATTTGCTCAACACTTCGCAACATTTTCTTCATTTTCTCAAAGTATTCAACTGTTTCGATGATTATATCGTTGATAGGCTGCTTTGAGAACCTGAAAATTTCAAACAAGAATTGATAATTTTGTATTGTTAGTCTAACTTGTTTTCAAATATATATCTCGACTCCATTAAACTTCTTAAGTTTTCTAAGTCTTCTAAAATTTCAGCTTCCTTCAGTTGATGAATCAAATCGACAATTTTAACGTGTTGCTCATCTAGAGACAGATTTGTCAATTTATCGAGCTCCATTTTCGTTGCTTTCAGAACGTTTTTACAATTATCCAGTTGTTCCGCGGCATCCATTGCAATTCTTTCATTTTCGAAATGTCGTTCAAGCTCAATTTCCACATTCCTCCGACGTTCGGTAACGACATTAGCGAGACGTTCGAATTGATTGGAAATGGACGAATAAGAATGCCATGTAAAGCTGTTAACATCCTCATTGAGCTCTTGAAGTTCACTTTCAATCAATTCTAGCTCCCGCAATTCATCTAATTTTTCATTTTCCATGATTTCCTTTAACAAAATGAATCATGCAGTGAATAATAAAACTTACCATAATGTTCAGCAATTCAGTCAGATATGAATTCGTGATTTCTTTAATATCAAATCGAACCATATCGGAGACATCTTCTTCCACTTGTTCGATCCAATTAGCCAGTGAGCTTGCCCTTTTAACATATTCCTCTTGCAGTTTCTAAAATTTGTAATCGTAAAATGCGAGCCATTATTTTCAATACCTGAACCCTGTTTTTTCTCTCTTCATCGCGTTTAATCTTCTCTGCCATATGGTGGAGTTCATTTTGCAAATGTCCTAATTTCTCATTTATTTTTGAGAGTTTTGCACTTCTCTCCTCTTCTCCCCATTTTCCATTTAATTCATTCGCACACTGATACAAACTAAAAATTGATTTAAACTTTATAATTAAAACACAAAACTCACCGTTGAACAGTTTCTTTACAATATGTCTCTAAAAATGTATTGATGGAATGATATTGTGACGATTCGAAATTAGCGAAAGGATCATGAAGCTTGGAAACATTGGCAATGCGAATCTCCTGTTCAGCTGAATTTTCTTGATCAATTATATGTACATATTATCGCTTAGGGCTAAAAAAAACCCCGAAATGCGAAAAAAAAACAACGGTACACAATTTCACCATGATAATGACAGATTGGAAATTTTTTTAGAAATACAAATTGCCAACAAAACAAAACTAACTAAGACATTGAGTTGCTATGTCGCATTTCCACAAGAATTTGAAATTTTCGATTTTTTGTCGCAGTTCTTCGAGCCTCCTGTCTAAATCCTTCCGAATCTGGTTCTTCGTTTCATTTAGATGATTCAAATTATTTTCGGCCGTCTTCACTTTAATCATTTCGTCTTTCGAAATTGGCCCGACTCTAGCGTATAAGTTTTGGATTATGTTTTCAAACTCATCGACCATTCGAATCCACCGTGAAAGTTCTTCAACTTCTTTTTCAGCAAAACTTATTGAAAACCGCTCATGTTGTTGCTTTAGAACTTCGCTGGATTTTTGGATCTGTTCTAAGACTTGCTCATGTCCTTTAATCTCTTCCAAAAGCTCAAAATACAACATCCATTTCTCAAATCTTTTTGTGCTAAAAAAAACAAAAATTGTAGAGAATGTTTCAAAAATCTAAAGAATATACCGAATGTCTGCCAGTTGTCCAATATTATGACACAATGTTTCTAGTTCAACCAACTTGTCTTCAATCTCATCGATTTTGTTACCAAGGTTTTCTCTTGTTTCCACAGATAAAACCTTTTGTGCTATATCCATTATTTCAACAATTTTATGTTGGCGTCTTTCAATTCCCGAGACCATTCTCTGATGTTTTCTTCTCATCGCTTTCAATCCGTTCAAGTCATTTCCGACATCCGTGTTCGTAATCAGTACCCAGATTTCCCTGACAAAAATATATATGATATATTCTTCGTTTTGTTAAGAGATTAGTAAACTGTTTGAAAAACTTATATAATTTTCTCGAGAATATTCTTTATTGGATTAAAATAATTTTTAAGTTTCATTAATTAACGAAAGAATAAACGTACTTGAAAGAACAAAGTTCTTCCTCGATGACCTTCGATACTTCATTCATACTCTTCCAGGAAATTAAATCTTGTTTTTTGTGTATTTAAATATTGAGGAAAAATGACGATTGTGAAAAACTGCAGCGATATCCTATGCATTGTGTGCGTACACCGAGTCGCACACTTCAATCTGAGCTACAGTAATGTCAATTAAAATTAATTTATTTATTTATTCAATTTTTTCGTTTTTTCTTTGTTTTCTCGGCGAATTCTATCAATATTCCGAAAAAAAAAACGTTTAAAAAAAAGTATCATTTTATAAGTACAATTTTTTCCTCGAGCTTCTATTTTTAACGTTATTGTAACGTTTTCATATATTTTTTTCATAAACGTTTATGCAATCATTATTTATTTATTTCAGGTGAAGAACCGCGTGATCAGGTGAAGAACCGCGTAACCAGGTTAAGAACCGCGGGACCGAATAGAGATCGTCAAAAGAGCAGCCTGTCGAATATATCACAATTAGATATGTTTTTATTATGTTTTCACCTTTTGTCTAGAAACAACTTAAACCAAATGTTATAACCATCGAAAAGTTTCAATTTTTAATGACTGGAAAAGAAAATAAGTGTGCTTAAATTGAAAAAGATGCGTGCTTTGTGGTTAAATTGTAGTTGCGGCGGTCATTATTGTCGAAAATTCACTTTCGAAGAGGACCAACATGGTTTGTAGTTTAAAAATAAAAATAAATAATTAAATAATGTTCAGATTATCAATATTGCTCATCGTCAGAAAAGCGAAAGTCGCTCGAAAGTCGCAAATTTCAGCTTTTTATAACGAAGCATGTACTTAATGAGGGATGAAAAATTGATTATTGGAAATTTAACGTTTAGGAAACGTATAATGACGAAGATCAATATGAAACCAAAAAAACTTGTTAAAATTGTTGGCGGTTTGAGAACAATCGTCAAATCTGTGACGAATTTATCAAAAACTGAAAAAGTTTAAAAAAAAAAAGAAACTGTGAAGGAAAAGCCTGTCGGGTTCTACCTCAGAAATTTAATCAAACCACATCAGCGCCAAAGCTGCACGAATTCCGTCTTCCGTATTCCGTTTTCCGTGACATTGTCCTGTTCCGCGTCCCGTTTCCGTGGTCCGTCAGAAAAAAATCGTTCCGTCTTCCGTTTTTAGAAAATTTAAGTTCCGATCACTGCCACCGGAAGCCGTGGGCGACCGGGAGCTGATGCAATCCTTATAAATCTTTTATTAAATTCTTTATTAAATCCTTTTATTGTAAATGCCACCATATATAAACCCCCGCAACGGAGGCCCTTTTCTTTTCTTCCTGAGTCGCGTATGTCGGCTCCGTTTTTGTCTACTCTCATTATGATCCACCGCTTTATTTATTTGTAATTTCCTCACTTTATTGAAGAAATAAATTTCTTCGAAACGTTATTAATTCCTAACGTATATGAATGTGAGAGAAATAAAGGGAGCGCCGCTCTACCACATTCGGTAGGACGGCAGCTTAACCTCTCTACTAAAATTAAGTTCTTAATTATGGTTTATTAATTTAGTGACGTTAGAAAATAGTGTTCAATGGGTATTATTCAAAGATGAACCATCAGATGAAAGCAAAGAGGCCCACACTGATATTTTTAACGAGAGAAAATACGCACGCCTAACGCCGGAGGAAATAAGATGGTTGAAGCTTGGTAAAGAAATAAATCAGATTAAGCTCAATGATTTGTTTCCGAACGTATCAACAGAAAAGATTTTGAATGAAAGACGATGATAGAAAAACTCAGGGAATTTTTCGAGGGTTCGAAAGGTGTGCTGGCCGAGTTCGGCCCGTATTCGCCCCTCGACCCGAGCGCGTTCGCCCTTCGCGTGTCCCACCTCCCCTCCTCCCTCTTCCCTTCCTTCCTTCCTCTTTTTTACTCCTTATAAGAGTATATACAAAATAGTAGGAAAACAAATTTAATTAATTAATTAAGTAAGGGATGCAATTTTAAAGGTGAGAAACCTGAAGATAAGTTATTATGTAGCCAATAATATAATTCTTACCAAATGCAACTCACTTCCAGTTATCCTCGAGATCGAGCATAATTCTTTTATATTGCAATTACAATTGCTTTGTGGTAACGAAAAAATAAAATAAAATCCAACTCCACGCTCAATGTGAATGGAAGCCGAAAAAATGTTAAAATCATTCACATGATTCCTGCTTTTGGGCCGTTTAAGTTTTGCTTCTTTTCATACTTTCATTTTTTTATTACTTAGAATTTTGCAATATCATTGGATGATCATTCAATGCCGCCATCGGATTCTCCCCACTGAATTCTCCAACATCATTAAAAGTATATCTTGAGAAAGGTATCATAACCCGTACATACAACTTCGAAAAATAATGTTTCAGATTTGTTTGGTTCCCAGTTCAATACAAAGGTATTTATTAGGAAAAACCACGAAATCGACCAAGTGGCCCGATGTTATCTACGAACCACTTAAAAGTAATAAAAGCAAAGCAAAAATAGTTATGAATACAATTTTCAGATTATTTCTTCGAATATTTCAATCTAAACAACAAGGAGTTATGGGCCTATTCATGCAATGAAAACTTACTTCACTTAGCCACTTAGTCGGTTCGTCCTTCGCCTGTTGAGGCGCGAACCACAGCTTTCCAAGCTTTTCGGTCCTTGGCTTGGGTGGACCAGGGGGTGATAACGGCTCTTTCAGCTTTTCTTGTAGTGATCTCCTTCCTAAGCGAGTCAGACCATCTCATGGGAGGCCTTCCTCTTGGCCGGGTCCAATTCCACAGCCGCCACACCGTTAGAAGAGTAGTCCATCTTCCATCTGTTCTTCTAGCAACGTGTCCAGCCCAGGTCATCTTCCTCTTCGTGATGTGGTGTAGGGGATCCTGAACTTTAGACATGATGCGGATGTCCTCTCGATGAAGATCTTGTTCACGTTGTTGTGATAACGTGAGGCCAACTAATCTTCGCTCAAGCGCAGCTGACTAATTCGGACTCTTTCGGCAAGAGTTTTGGTGAAGGTCCAAGTCTCTGATCCGTAAGTCAGCGCTGGGAGAACGATGGAATCGAAGAGCTGTGCGCGGGTTTTGTTACAGGAAATCAAATCGGTGGCGTTCTTGATTCCATTAAACGCTGCCCAAGCTGCTCTTCTCCTTCGGAAGATCTCCTTGACTAGCTCGTTTTTGGGGGTGAGTAGTCTTCCAAGGTACACGTATTCGTCAACATCGTCAATGATACTGACCGAATTCTGGTGCGTTAGGGTAAACATGGCGGAGTCTGCGAAGGGGTTACGTAGGTCTTTGGTCTTTCCAGCGTTAATCTGGAACCCTACTTGTTCGCATCTCGCAACCATCTCACTTAACATCTCGGATGCCGCTTGCGGACTGTGCGCTATGAGCACGACGTCGTCTGCAAACCGCAGGTGTGTGAGGTTGCGGCCATTCACTCGTAATCCAGGAGTGTTCGTATTGTCTTCTGAGTCGTTTTTGAATTGACTCCAAGACAATCCACGGGGAAACTTGCTCCAGGCACGCGGAGAAAAGGTTCGGCGAGATTGGGTCACCTTGCCTTACTCCTCTTCGAACAGGCATCTCTACCTGTTGATGGAATGGCATGATGCTTGTGGAACAGTCAGAGTAACAACTTTGGAGTAGCTGGATATACGCTTCTTCAACGCATTGGTCTCTTAGGCTCGGCCACACTGCTGAATGCTCAACACTGTTGAACGCCTTCTTGAAATCAACGAAGACAAGTGTGAGTGGGATTTGATATTCTCGTCCCACTTCTAGCAGTCTTTGGACAGAGTGGATGTGATCCACTGTTGAGAAGCCCTTGCGGAACCCAGCTTGTTCTACAGGTTGATTGGCTTCTAATTTACTCCTGATTCTATTCAAGATGCATTTTGTGAAAGCCTTGTATAGAACAGGGAGTACCGTGATTGGCCTGTAGTTCTCCAGGGAGTATCTATCACCTTTCTTGAAGATGATAGTTGTCTCTGACTTGGTCCACAGTCTCGGTATTGATCCGGTTTCTAGGTAGCGGTTAAATCGGTCCGTTATCAGCGCGATAGTGTTTTCGTGGCAGCATTTGAGGAAGTCTGCGCTTATTTTATCACTGCCTGCTGATTTCCCATTTGGGAAGGACCGAAGTGTCGAAACGATTTTCTCTCGTAGAAATGGAAGGGGCCTATTCTTGACATGCGTTGTCGTAGGCGTAGGCGCTTGTGGGGCTCTACTCGCAAAGAGCTTCGTGTAAAACGATTCCACTTCCTTCTCCATTTCTGTTCTAGAGGTGAGAGTTCTGCCTATAGTAGAGCATTTGAGGCATGGAATCAGTGAATTGTATTCGTTCATGTCTCGCGCTACTCTCTTAAAGCTTTTGATCGGCTGCTCCTTGTAACCGGGAATTGGTGAACTCCTTGTGATCTCTTTCGATTGCTTCTCGGCACTGTTTTGAGAGGTTCTTGAAACTGGGATCGGACCATGTTTCGTCTACGCGAGAGCAATTGTTGTGTTTCGACAGAGATCCTATTGGTCCGGTGGTTTAATGGTTTAACAATAACTTGGTCTTGTAGTTTCCTGAGTAGCGTTGTTAGATTAGAGTAATCATCGTCAACGCTGTTGGCTACTGGGAGACTAACAATCGAGCTTATTTTAGCCATCTCCGGGTCCAATAAAAAAATTTTAAAAAAAATCAATTTTTTTCATTTGAATTCCCTACGCACGCACGTCGAAAATTACAAAAAATTGGCGCGATATATCGTCATTCTCCGCTATTTATTTTCGAAGCGCACGCGAGAAGTTGCGCGGGTTACGTCGCGAAGTCGGTACTGTAATTTTTTATTTTTCATTCTGTGTGCTATTTTTCCGTATTTTTCGAAAACATTAAAGAGGAAATGTGTATCGGATTGAAGAACGAGGTAAAAAAACCAATTATTGTTTTAATTACTTCTAAGTGGACAATATAAGTCTGTTTTTCGTCATTTAGATACCATAATCATGTGAAATAGTGATTTTTGTGTTGATTAGATGCAG